CGCTGGGGCCGGTCTTGTTCACCTCTTCCTCTGAAATCTTAGGGTTTGTGAGGGAGGGAATAGATGGGAGAATATCCGGCAGGTGACTAATCGGAAGGTGGGGGGAGAAATCAGAGGAGGGATCTGAATCGCGGTGGCGTAGATGGAGGAGGCCATCTATTAAATTTTATTTTTATTTTTTAATAGTTGTAAAATGAGGTGAAAATTGTAAATATTTAAATTTTATTATTTTAATATTTTTTTAAATGGCCACGTCTCTCATTTAACGGTCAACTATAATAGTTGACTGCTACATCAGCAAAAACTAACGGAGACTAACGGAGAGTGACCAAATTTGAACTTTTGAACTAATCTTAGTGACCAAGGATGGAATTAAATATTTTCAGTGACTAAACATGAACGTTTTTAGTAAACCCAGTGACCAACCTTGCAATTAACCCCAAATCTTCCATAATTTTGGTGGACAAGTCTTCTGTCAACTAGCTTTGTACCCGACCGCTTTCATTTAATTCGTTCAAATCATTTTGGTTATATGAATTTGAGATATAGTTGTAACACATTCTTCAAAAATTAATTTTCTCAAACATGCACTCAATACTCAATCATACATTTTGTGTTTTTAACATCATAACTTCATATTTCAATGTCAATATAATCAACTACTTATTTCGGAATATTGATTATCGACTAAGTCGTACATAGACATGTTAAAAATTCTCATTATCTATCATGATTAGTTATGTTTATTCTAATATTGTAAAGCAGTTGCAATGATATTTTATGACGTCTCTGCGTAGGTATTATGTAAACATTTTATCCATCAAAATATTGAAATGACTATCATATACAATAATTGTTTTCTATATTTGGACTGACACCAATCAGTAAACTCAAATTAATTATCTTATATAATATATAATGAACATAGTGAATTTCATGAGCATATAAACACAGTGCCACTTGAATAATAACTTGTACAATGTAAAAATATAATTCTTATAATAACTGAGACATCTGTTGTTCATTTGGAATCTATGATATACATTCTAGTTACCTTTACTAATTATCTAACTCATTCTAAAATAAAGAAAAAAGCTAAACGTTCCATTTAGATAGGACAATTTACGAAATAATTTTTCATATGAAATTTTTATGCTTGCTAAAAAATCAGATTAAGAGTTAATCGACAAAAAAAAACTGCGGCCAAAACCAACCATAAAAAGAAAAAGGAAAAATAAAATAAAATCTACCGAGAATTAAGGGGAAGCGTTTAAGGCTGACTGGAGTGGATGTTTTTCTCAAATCCCTTTAATATATTCTAAGAGATACTCATTACTCGATACCAAAACAAAAATATCCTGTTCAGATTAATCTGACCAGTGGAAACAAAAATATACAAAAGAATCAAAACCAAATCCAAGCATGCAGCTTTCATCCAGGTATTTTTCACAATTTTCTGTTCATATCATATGGTTAGCAGATGATTTTGATCTTCTCTCCTTTATTTTTTATCTGGATCGACATCAACTGCCCATGTACAAATTAACAGAACCATTGCTTCATCTCTCTCTACAGCCATGCATGAGAATGGTAGTATGCTACGCAGTTTAGCTTTTGTTTTAATCAAAACTCGAGTGTGAACTTACCCAACAGAGGAGCACCCTTGCAGAAAGTTGCAAAGCTCACTTGGCAGGAAGGACATGCACAAGGGCGAGGCGAGGATTACAACATAGAAGCAGTAAAGCACCAAGAGTGAGGAGAGGATGTGAGAATTACAACATATGCAAAATCCTAATAGCTCTCAAAGGAATCTTTCTACGCCCGAAGTTGATAGATCTGCACAACTTCACATCATCAAAGTCGACACCAGGAAAGACTTGTATATGCTCATAAACTTTGCCACAAATGCTGCTCATACAACGATAAGACACAACAAGAATTCATCACCCACAAAATGGAGGCATACAGTTTCGTTGTATGATAATATGTATAATCTGAAATTACCTTCGAGATGAAATATGGCTTTCTGCCCCAATCGCATTCTATGTTCCTGTTCAACAATAAATCAAATAATATCAAGACAAATGTTCCTCACGAAAACTAATTGAAACCATCATGTTGATGTATTAGAGGAACTCACATAATATGCAGCCCAGTGACAGACGTCATGCTTCAAATCATCATCCAGTTTCTTCAGTAACTCAAAGAGAAGTCTCTGTTCAGAAATAAGGACAGTCATTAGTTAGGTGGACTAAGAATAATAGGTACGGAAAGATTATATAGGGAAACTTATCTACCTTCAACAAAATCTCAGGAGGAATACAGTTGACAAGTAGTTCATACAACTTTCCTCGAACCTCGAACAATCTATCAAACTCAGTGGTTGTTTGATTAGAAATTAGGGGAAAAGAAGCCAAAACTTTGAAAGCTATGGACACAAATGCTCGCTTTCAATGTTATACCTTTTAGGACTCTGCTCCTTCATTATGTCAGAAGATATGGTGGAAACATAATCTTCCCACTCCAATGAAGAGATTTCTTGATTATTTTTGAAAGGGTACCTAGCACATGAGCGGGGTATAAATATTAACATCCAAAAGAACAGACTTCGGTAAATGAAAGAAGACATAGTGTAGAGGACTAGAGCTTAACTGTTGAACCCGACAAGTCTCAAATGAGAGTATGGCTCTCCTTAAACTTCTATTTGATTTTTCAGCAATACGAGCAGTAAATCCCGGTGGAATTTCCAGCCCTTCTTTCTTCCCGATGAAGTCCAGAACCCTAACTATCTGTTATAATAAAGTCCACCGAAGGCAAAAAGCATTGACGGAATAGACAGTTCTGTTTAACACCATTGACACGGTCATCTATTGATTATAATCACGGATATGAAGAAGTAACTTTCCAACCTGTTCCTGTGCAGGAGCATTTATTCGAACATTCAGACAACGGGACCGAATAGCCTCAGTAACCTTCGAAGAACTGTTACAACAGAGAATTAGCCGGCAGGAAGTGCTATATTTCTCCATAGTTCTTCGTAGAGAATGTTGGGCCTCTCTGGAAAGCTTGTCAACCTCATTAAGCACAACCACTGATGGAAGACAAAAAAAAACCTCCGCATGAACCGAAATCCAGGAACTCCATTTTGCTTTTACTAGCTACATGCTCCCTAGTCAATGATCACTAATTCAGATGTATATGGATGACTTTGCTAAACAACATGAGAAAACCAAATTCAGTATGTTGTATATGGCTATCTCTCAATTATAGACTCGTCACTTCAATCACACAAAAAGACTACGACTACCGAGTAGGAAAAGTAAAAAAAAGCAGTACCAAAAAGAACAAAACAGAAAGGATGCACAAATAACAGCAGACAGGAAGAATCCATTTACCTTTGTACGTTTTCTTTCCTTTTGAGTCAATTGGCCTATTCCTAGCCATCTCTTTGATAACATCCTGCACAACATATCTATCCTGGAATCCCGCATCACTGGGACTTAATTCCACATGGTTTGCAGTTGATAATGTAGTTAATTCGAGATCAATTGTTCTATTGCCAGCCTGAAAAACCATAGGATTGACGAACAAAAAGTAATGAACACAAATTGGAGAAAAATCAGAGGAAAAGAAATGAAAAGCTAAAAAAAAAGAAGAGGGGCATTTGCGGCCAGAGATAGAAATTGAATGACTACTTGTCCCCTAAGCCATCTGTGGCCACAACTAACATTTTCAACAGCAAAGTTGTGTTTTAATGGTTCAATCCACGTATAATGACAACCAAAGGGTCCAAACATGAGGATTCACAAAAGAAAGCCACAATGTTCAATAACAAATGAGCAAAACCAGCACAATCACCATCACTAAAACTAAGCCGAAATACAAATGCACGAGAAGAGCATAATGTTGAGATAAATAAATGATTTAAACTTACATCAACTTTCCAAGTCCTATTCTCCACCTTCACCTGCCATGAAACAACATCTAGCCATTAGCACATTAGGAGAATGATCTCTACTACTTCCTTCTCCTATTCAGCACATGCAATGATTTCAATCCCAGTAAGGGGAAGAGCAAATAATAAACAGTTTTACCTTCTCAACGCCGGGGCCGTATATTTGACGGAGCAAACCCATGATCAGAGTTTTCTTCCCAGAACCAGACGGGCCATAGAAGAGTAGATGAGGGCAATCCTGCTCGGCAACCTGAAAAGCAATTAGTGGGTCAGAATTCTGATTAACAATAAGAACATGGGACAGAAGAAAAAAAAAAGTTAAAATGAACTTGGCAAGAGTAGCATGAACGAGTACAAGTTTCTTGAGGTTTTCGGCGATGTCTTCATGAACGATCACTTGCTCTAGGGTTTTGGGTCTGTACTTGTCCACCCACAACATCTTCGAATCTTTGCTTCAGCTGCAAATGATTGCACTATACTAACTTCAAAAACTTACAAACAAAACATAGCGAACAGCGTATGGAGGTCCAAACCCGAAAAGGAAAGCAGGAGTCAAAGAAGGTTGAACGAATGGCGCACATGGAAGCAGAAGGGCGGGAAAGAGAAGGCGGCAAAAATGATTCTCGCCGGAAAGTTAACTTCCTCGATTGCGCGAGTAAGTGAGTGAGTGATTTGATCGGAGACGGCGAGAGACACGGGCAAGGATCGAAAGTTCGAGACAGAACGTCGGAAAGTAACCACAGAGCAAACCGAGTGAAAGAAGAACGAGAAGAACTGAGAGTAATCTCTCCCGACCACTGAAAGTTATCTCGGGTCGGGTAAAACCGTGACGCTCGACTGCGTGGGCCCGAGTAGGCTGTCTCTCGTCTTTTTGGTGGAAAGCTGATCTAACTTTCCCGCGTTAAGTGGCGGGCTTGATTGGGCCACTGCCTTCAGTTTTAATTAATCAGTCTTTGGATGGCCCGAGCAAGAATATACCAATAACAAATGGAGGCCCATATTCCACTTTTGGCCCACAAACATATCGGTTCAGCATAAACTGGTTCCGACCGGTGCGGCTGCGCGGCAACCAAAGCGGGTAAACCAGCCTCTGCAATTTGAAGCTTGCAGTGGAAGAAGAAGAAGAAAGGGAGACGACGACGAGATGACAGAGGAAACGAAGTTCAGCGTGATGGTGAGCATGTTCGATTGGATACAGAAGAGCAAATACTCGGCCAAGAAGCGCTCCAAGTTCCGCAAGTTCCTCGATACTTTCTGCAAGCCACGCGACTACTTCACCGCCGTTCGGTTGATTCTGCCGGGGCTCGATCGGGAGAGGGGTTCCTATGGGCTGAAGGAGTCGGTGCTGGCGAGTTGCCTGATTGATGCACTTGGCATGTCCAGAGACTCTCCTGACGCTCTCCGCCTCATCAATTGGCGGAAAGGGGGTGCGAAGACTGGCGCCAATGCCGGAAATTTTGCTCTTGTTGCTACCGAGGTTCTTCAACGAAGGCAAGGGATGGCTTCCGGTGGACTGACGATTAAGGAGCTTAATGAGTTGCTTGACCGACTGGCTTGTAGCGAGAACAGGTTTGTATTTCTTAATGTGGGGCGAAAAGTGGACTGATTTTGATTTTGAAGTTAATGCAATATTGTTCGTAGGCCCGAGAAAATTTCTATTCTTGCTACTCTGATTAAGAAGACGAATGCTCAGGAGATGAAGTGGGTTATCATGATTATTCTTAAAGGTTTGTTTTATCGATTCTTCTCTTTTGCCGCTCTTTCTCTTTCCTTCCGCCACAAATCAGATGCAGGACTGAACTTTCTTTTTTTGTTTGATTTTTGGTTGCAGATTTGAAATTGGGATTAAGTGAAAAGAGTGTATTTCATGAATTCCATCCGGATGCAGAAGACTTGTTTAACGTCACCTGTGACTTAAAGTTGGTCTGTGAAAAGTTGAGGGGCCGGCATCAAAGGCATAAGCGCCAGGTGAGTTTCCCTGAACAAGGCGCTGCCTTTCCATGAAATCAGTTAGCCCGAGCTGTCACCTGGTTATGGACCAGCAAGCAATGATCTTCTACTGTCCTCATTGTGGAATTTGTGCTCTGTGGCAACAGAAAATAGCATCTTTAGTTTTCCACTTATCTGCCACATAATGTTTGACAGGATATTGAAGTTGGCAAGGCTGTTCGCCCTCAGCTAGCTATGCGAGTTTCTGATGCTCAAGCTGCATGGAAAAAGGTTTCTCGTTTAGTGTAGTTATGCTCACAGTAATCATTCCTTCATTTCTATACTTGAGGTCATGCATCCTCCTGCATGCATTGGGTTCATGTTAGCATTTGCCAGCAAGAACAACAATGTAGATCTAGTATTCATCGTACTTGTTGCATCTGTCTATGTAGCTTCATGGTAAGGAAGTAGTGATGGAATGTAAATTTGACGGTGATCGGATCCAAATCCATAAGAATGGTGCTGAGGTCCACTTCTTCTCGAGGTAGGTTGTAGTGTTTTCTAAAGTACTGGATGCTTCTTGTTTTATTTTGGTAACTTGGTTTATAGTTGTATTAGTTATCTGCTCAGATCACGTCTCCTTGGTGTATGGAAGTTGTTGTTGAAGTGCTTCCAAGTGTCATTCTTTATATCAAATGTGCACTGCTATGCAGGAACTTTATTGATCACTCTGAATATGAGCACGGAATGTCAGACATCATTCAGCAATGTGTTTTGGCTGACAGGTTGGTGCCCGTTTCTCCTTATATTTTTGTGACCTTAATATATCGTGATAGACCCGTGCAAACAAAAAATGAAATGAGTCACTTGATAATGGCTGGAAACATCTTAATTCCCCCTATTAATACACAAGCTGGCGATTTTTAAAAAAATATAGAAGATAATGACTGGAAAGACCTCCAGACTCCAGTTACCTTATATGGTTCTGAAGGGAGATGTACAGTTAATCATCGTGCTTTGAATTGGCTGAGCTGAAAGGATTTGTCTGAAATATAGCACTTTCCTGGGTTTCTTTATGATAGGTGCATACTCGATGGTGAAATGTTGGTCTGGGATAGTTCTTTGAATCGATTTGCAGAGTTTGGTTCAAATCAGGAAATAGGTTAGTTGGAACTGTGATTTCAAGACTCTTGGTTTGCCTAATTGTATGTAGCATTAAAGACATCTGTTTGTCTGTTCACAGCAAAAGCTGCAAAAGATGGACTCGATAGCCATAAACAGGTGTGCCTTTTGATTTCCCTTTTTTTCTCTAGCCCTACCCTGCTTGACATGAGTTCGATTTTGATTTACTTGTTTTGCTGTTGCAGTTGTGCTGTATCCTTCACGTTGATTAAACTCAAAGCTGAGCCTCAACTACTCCGTTGTTATATTGGAGAAATAGATGGGCCCACTGAAGCTTAAGCTATCTCAAGTTATTTGGTCTACCTTGACATCAGTTTAAGATGTTGCATTTGATATTCTTTATGTTGGGGATACTAGTGTGATTCACCAAAGTTTAAAGGAAAGGCATGAACTTCTCCGTTCAGCAGTAAACCCTGTCAAGGGTCGATTGGAGATCTTGGTACCTAGTGGAGGCCTGAATAGTCATTGCCCTCCTGGTAAGGAAAACCTTGTGAATTGAAGGAAAGACGATGCATTTTTTATGGGTGTAGCCACAATTAACCCATCCTAAGAGTATATTGAATAAATTAAAATATAATGCTGAAGCACTTTCTTTAGATATGGTTTATCTTCATTTTCTGATTTCATTTGATTCATTTCAGGATATGCAGTCCATTGATCTGCCCCGTTGGGTTTGACATAATAGTTGTATAGTCGAGTCCTTTCTCTGAATTGTCTTAATTTTGCATAATAAATTCCCGCAAGAAAAACCGGCGCTTAAGTATTTTCTAGCTCGTGCAGGGGAACCTTGCTGCTCGCTTATTGCTCATAGTCTGGATGATGTAGACAAGTTCTTCAAGCAAATAGTTGAGAATAGGTTAACCTTCTCTCATTCTTCTCCCTAATAAGTTTTTCCTTACTTTTATGATTTCATGGATTGTAGTGGACTCATGAGTCCCAATTTCATGTTAGAGATGAAGGGATTGTGTTGAAAGATCTTGACTCCAAATGGGAACCTGGGGACCGAAGTGGAAAGTGGTTGAAACTTAAACCCGATTACATTCGTGCTGGTTCAGATTTGGATGTTCTTATCATTGGTATATCCCTTGTCTTCAGTTCTTCATCCTATTTTCCACTGAACTATTTCTCTGAGGTTTGCTCCTCTTTACATTCTACTTCTTGGCAGGAGGGTACTATGGTTCAGGGCGACGAGGAGGAGAGGTCGATTTCGTAGTCATGTTACTGGGTTTTTTTTTTTAACTCCAAGTCGTTTTTTTCATGACAAGTGAACCTGGAAAGTTGCTAGAGTTAGCAAATTCAAGCTTTCCCTCCCTTGTAAAATGCTGCAGGATAGAATTTTTATTGAGAGATTTTATTTGATCTTTGCATTTTTATTGGAAATGAGATACATAAGCCCATCAAATTGTAGGTGGCTCAATTCCTGGTGGGACTAGCAGAACGTCCGTTGGCAGATACATATCCGAGACGGTTAGTAAATTGAATATTAATTACAAAGAAAATGGCGTTACAGTTGTCCTTCCCCCCATGCTTTAAGATGCCTAAGAATGTAGCTGCTCTGTAGGTTCATCTCGTTTTGCAGAGTCGGTACTGGATTGTCTGATGACGAGCTAAATGCTGTTGTTACAAAATTGAAGCCTTACTTTAGGTAAGTTTTGGGAATTGTTGACCTTGTTAAGCACATTACACTTCAGTTTTATTGAAGCTCTTTATTGACAGTAGTCCTGTGCTTGTATCTGAATCCAGACTGTAGTTTCTTCATAAATTTCATCTGTGTACTGCAGGAAATATGATTATCCAAAAAAGGCACCTCCAAGTTTCTACCAAGTTACAAATAACTCTAAAGAGAGACCAGATGTGTGGATTGAGAGTCCTGAAAAGTACAATTTATGTATCACTTCATGTCCATGTGAAATAATGATTGTAAAGATGGCCTTCTAGTACTTGTACCTTATGATCTTTCTCTTGTCCATGATTTGCAGGTCAGTGATTCTTTCCATCACTAGTGACATTCGAACTATAAGGTCTGAGGTAAGACCATTTACCATGGTTCTGTCAGTAAATTACCTACTTAATACCGCCACACTTTTAGTTTATTGCAATTTCACTTGGCTCTCCTTTCTAATGTTCTTGTTCTGTACATGTATGTATGTGCCAATGCAATCTGATTGAGGTTTAATTTTTCTGTTCTCCAGGTATTTGCTGCACCATACAGCTTAAGATTTCCCCGGATTGACAGAGTACGGTATGACAAACCATGGCATGAATGTCTTGATGTACAGTGTAAGAACAAACAATGTGCTTACATTTTTTCTTTCCCTATTGTCTCGTGTTTTTGCTTGTGTGCTCCTTGTTTTCCTTTGAGAAATTATTGGCTAGTTCTCTCTTTGATTGGTTAGCTGGATATTCTCTCAGCTTTCATAGAACTTGTTCATTCGAGTAATGGCACCACAACAAAGGTTCAAGAAGATGGAGGCCCGCAATATGACAAACCAGCACGTGCAAAACCCTCCAAAAGGGGCGAGAAAAAGAAAGTTTCTGTTGTTCCTTCGCATCTAATTCAGACGGACGTTTCGGAGATCAAGGGGCAAAGCTTGATATTCTCAAATATGATGTTCTGTATCCTTTGGTTGGTATTCATGCTTTATTTCTTGGGCTGGCTAATGACAACCACTAAACTGATGTTTTGGCTATATTTTTATTCTTAAAGTGGTTAAAATAATAATGACTATTAAAGTAAAACCATGTTTGTCTAGTGTTACCTGTTATTTGTCTTGAAACAACTACTGTCTAAATTTATGTCTAACCATTGTACATGGCTGGTGTATCTGTGATTCCTTAGCATGTCTAGACTTTGTCAATGTACCTTCAACCCATACACTCGATTCTTTTCACAAAATGGTTGTGCAAAATGGAGGAACTTTCTCTATGAATCTGAACAATTCAGTTACCCACTGCATAGCAGCTGAAAGCAAAGGTCTCTCTCTCTACCCCTCTGTCTGCTGTCTCTTTGTTATGCCTAATAGACGATGAGAACTATGCAAGTGAAATTTGTTCTGCTTTGAATGGAGATGTTATCAGTTTGAAATGTAACAAAGACATATGTCTCAGGGATTAAGTATCAAGCTGCAAAGACTAATAATGATATCATTCATTATTCTTGGATCTTGGACTGCTGTGCAGCGAAGAAGCTCGTTCCTTTACAACCAAAGTTAGCTCTGCTTCAATACATATTTTCTCAGGTTCAAGAGCTATAACCTGTATTCGTTGTTCTAATTATTTCTTTCTTTTCTGAATTGGCTATAATTTCGTAGGTACTTCATCTACCTTTCCGGCACTTCAAAGAAGAAGTTGCAGGAGGAAATCGATGAGTTCTCCGATCCGTATTTCTGGGATCTGGACCTTGCATCCATGAAACAGGTTCAAGCTCTCTTTATCAGTTCTTCTTCGTATCTGCTACGCAAAATCTCGTGCAATAAATAAGAACCGAATTTCCTATGTTTCCAGATATTATCCAACATTACCGCAAGCAAATACACAAGTACGGTCGAGGGCCTCAAGAATAAGTACAGCCCAAACGAGAAGTGGATTCGATTTTGTGGTTGCTGCGTTTACTTCCACCATTCGCTTCAGTCTCTGTAATATCTCTAGGCTCATTGCTCATGGTTGATTTTCCAGTTGATACCTATAATCACTTGCTCGTGTTGCTTAACGTAGTTGTTCTTTTGCATCGTCTACGTTCATGTCACATAGAACACCCGAGTGGGAGTCTTTAATGGAGATTACATTGAGAAGGCTGAAGCTTGATCTGTTGATGGGTGGTGGGAAGATCAGCAGTAATCTTGCTCATGCAACCCATCTGGTTGTCCTGACACCACAAGGATTGAATGTAGACTTGGTTTCCCTTATGGAGAGGTATTAATTAGACTGATTCAATATGAGCCCTTCGAGTTTAGGCTGCTGTGAGCTGCTCGTGTTATTTTTGCCCTCTCTTTCTTCTTCAGCTTCACGGAAAAGGAGAGACACCACATACGAAACAAGAGGTTTAATGTGGTCGGATGGCAGTGGTTGGAGAAGTCCATGGAGAAAGATAAAAGGTTGGAAGAAGATGCATACAGCTTGAAGCCGGCCGGGTTTGAAGAGTGGAGTGGTGACGAATGGTAAGAGTTCAGAACACTCTGCGGCCCAATGGCTTTTAAGTTTAGCTGTATTTCTCTTTCTACATTAAATCCTTGTTATATTTGCATCTTCTTTCCAGGGAACCTGGTGTAGGAATGGAAGAAGGGAACCATTTTTCAGATTATGTAGAAATCTCGACAACCAGGGAAGCTGAGGAGAGGGTTGAAACCAGTTTTGAACTACCAATATCACGAGGCAAAGGGCAGAACAAGAAGAAAAGAGGGAGGCCTGCCGGTGTAGCCAATAAAGGGAAACCACCTGTGGTTAGAAGAACAAGGGCACGCGTTATGAATAAACCCGTGAAGATAACCGAGACAAAATCAGAGGAAAGTAGCTCAGCTGAGGATGTGAACAACAAGCACTCACTTTTCCATCAAGCAGAAGATGTGGGAGAGGCAAAACCAGTTGAAGGCTTTCCTGTAGATGACAGTAAACAAGGAATTGAGGAGTTGGGTGAATATCGATCTCTTGACTTTGAGATGAAATATGGAAACAAGGATGGCCATGGGGAGCCTGAGAAGCTGGAGGTCATGGTCGATCCGGTGAATGCCATGTTGATGGACATGATTCCCAGCCTGGGGCTGAAGATGGCAGAATCCAAAGAAGATCTTCCGCTCCGTGTACATGACCAAAAGGCGTCCGAATCTACTATTCAGCAGCCTCCCCCAGGAAAGAAAAGGAAAATGAGCTTCAAGGAGTTGGCAGAGGAGGTGCTAAAGGATTAGAGAAAGATACTGTCATGATCCTTGTATTATACATGTAGTTCTTAATGTTGCACAGCTCACTAAACTAGTAAAAACTTGTTGCCAGCAGTTGATAGTTCTGAATGATGACTTTTGGCTTATCAATGACCTTTTTTATCAACTGGCCAACTATATCCATTTACTGGGTCATTCGTAGTCATCCTCTATCAAAATCATTAACAGTACAATCATTATAGCAACATATGGGAAAAGCAGTCACTGATCATAGTTCACAGCTAGAAGTAATGCACATTCTTAGAGAAGTGATAAGAACAAACTGAATGAAGAGGAAAAGAAGCCTTTGTTCCTTCCCTTCCATACAAGGAGGTAAAAGAGGGAGGAGAAGCCCCAAGAACAAGAATCACCACCCGTATTTGGCTTGGGTTTTGAGCTTTGGTGAGGAATGTATGAAAAGAACAAACGGAATGAAGATGAAAAGAAGCCTTTCTTCCTTCCCTTCCATACAAGGTGGCAAAAGTGGGAGGAGAAGCCCCAAGTATCACCACCCGTATTTGGCTTGGGTTTGAGCTTTAGTGAGGAAGCCCTTTGAGCGCCGCTCTTGCAATTCCATCTCCTTCTGCCTCATGTCGAGGTATAGAGTACCGATCTGATGCTTCCTCTTGTGAAGTTTTGAAGGCTTACCCTTGGCAGTAGAAACAGGCTACAAACAGGACATTCTATATTAGAGAAAGACATGAAATTGCCAGATTGCTCAACAAGTAATAGTAAAACAAATTCCCCTACATAAGCATTCAGCTTTTCCCACAACCCCCACTTTCTACACTATAAATCCGCAAACGATCTAAAGCTTAAAGAAGAAAGCTTGAAACTTTCACTTCTATACTCATCGTGTTATCAAATTCTAATAATTTGTTGAACGAGAAATAGCAACACAAACTTCGCTCTGCATAATCATTCAGTTCTCCCTCCGTCCCCCCTTTGTACAGTCTAAATCACCAAACCATCAAAGCTTGTAGAAGAAAGCTTGAACCTTTTCAGCGTCTATGTTCATAGTGTTATCAAGTTCTAATCATTTGTTGAACCCCTGCATGAGCATCCAGTTTCCCGACCGATGCCTTTCTACCGTCTAACCATCTAAAGCTTGTAGAAGAAGTTTGAAACTTCTCAATCTCCATGTTTATCGTGCTATCAAGTTCTAATCATTTGTTGGATTTACATGAAAGCAATTCAATCCGGACTTAAATCTCCATAACCCCGCTCTAGAACAAGTGCCTAAACTCCAATCCCAAGCAATTCACATTCATAACACCACATAGCTACAACCCAGCCAATTCTACAAACTGGAGGGTAAACGAACAAAAGACGGTGCTTGATGAGCTTATTATATAGCGTACCTGGTATGATGGCCCAAAGGCAATTCCGGTCGACTTAACTTGATCCTGCCTAGGCCTGTTCTTGGTCAACTCCTCCTGCTTCACTTCGATGATCTCAATTGGCTTCTCATTCCTTCCCCTCTTCCCCCGCATAAACCTCCCCGCACTATCATCTACGACCACCGCTGCCGTCGAAGACCCTTCAGCCCAACAATTCCCGTAGTCAGCAGCGTAATACTCCCCGTAGGTTCCATCAGTACTACCACCACCAACCGTCTGCTCCGTTCTAGCAGCGTAGCTGCTCCCATCGTAACTTTGATAATCGGAATAACCATAACTGGCTGGATGTTCTACATTCTGATCGAAGACCGATTGACTAGCGGCTTCGGGTACAGAATCTTCGGGGATTGAGGGCGGAGCGTCGGTCTGTAGGATGGATCTGCGGCCAGAACCAGAGGAAGGGAGGGCGCCCAAGGCGGAGGAGCTTCTTGGAGCGGGAATGCTGGAGAGGAACGATTTCACGGAAGAAGAATCGACGGCGGTTGATTTGCTTGGGCGAGCTGGCCGTTCGTCTTCATCGTCGTCTTCGTCGTCGGGGTAGGTGGGAAGGGGAGGGGGTTTGAATTGGACGATTCGCTTGGGATTGCGGTTGGAGAGGGGTTGTGGAGCGGCAGAATTTTGGGATTTGGGGGGAGGAAGCGAAGAAGAGAAGATTGACGGCGACGGCGAAGAAGAAGAGGAGGATTTAGGGCGCGGAAGGACGGAAAAAAGAGGGAGAGAAGGTCGCGCTGGAGGTAAGGACTGGGAAGAGGTAGAATAGCTGGATGATTGCCTTTCATGGCGGACGGCTTCTTGCTGTTGGGGTTCGTCTTCGTCGGAAGATCCGTAGCTAGCTACCAGAGAATCCATTGTCGAGAGCTCGGCTGCTGCAATTCTTCGCTCGCTCTGCTTTCGTTTCTTTTTGCCGGCGCCTTCGTCGGTTCCTGGCACCCTTATGACTCCGCTTGCCGCCTGTAGTTATTTGGGCTGAACGGTAAGTCGTTTTAGGCCTTTCTCATCATTTCCCTTCCCTTCTCGTTAATTGAAACGTGGGCCATTATCTATAACACATACTTGGGCTTGGCTCGCAAGGTTCCAAAATCCGGATAATCGTTAGGGTCGGGGATAGAGTCAGTAACCAATGGTTACTGACCTATCAGTAAATACATGCACACCGTAGATCTAGGGGCGGATTAATCATGCCGCTGGGCTGAATGCGGAGTCCAGAAGGACATTTTTGTCCGTTTATGAATTTTTATTTTATTATATTCCAAGTTTAATGGCCGCTTTTTAAAAAAAGGAGACCACTTTTAATGGCTGCCTTTTTCAAAGGAGGAGAGAGAATCATTTCTCTACAACTCTCTTTTCTCTTTCTCCCTTCCTTTTTCTCTCTCAATCTATCATTTCTCTTTCTCTGTTCCTTTTTTTCTCTCCAATCTCTTTCTCCATATCTAGATCTGCTTCCTTCTCTTCTTTTTTCGTTTTTTTCTCTCCAGCAATCGACGAAGAAAAATTGCAGCCACCCTCTTTCATTGCGTTTTTTGTCTCTTCATCAACTCATTGGCCTCAATTTCGGTCTTTCTCCCTTTTTTGGCGTTTGGTGTTCTTGATTGCGGAGGAAATGAGATGAAATAGAAGACGAGTTTTTTCCCCTCTCTCTCTTTCTGTTTTTTTCTTTTAGGTAATATATATTGATATTAACATGCTATACTATACGGTATTGTGTGGTAATTAAATATATATTGATATTACCACACTATATCATATGGTATTGTGTGATAACGAAATATATATTGATATTACCGCATTATACCATATAGTATTGTGTGATATTACCACACTATACCATATGGTATTGTGTGGTAACGAAATATATATTGATATTACCGCATTATACCATATAGTATTGTGTGATATTACCACACTATACCATATGGTATTGTGTGGTAATGAAATATATATTGGTATTACCACACTATACCATATGGTATTGGGTGGTAACAAAATTTATATTGATATAACCACACTATACCATATGGTAATGTATGGTATTGTGTGGTAACGAAATATATATTGATATTACCACACTATACCATATGGTATTGTATGGTATTGTGTGATATTACCACAATATACCATATGGTATTGTGTGGTAACAAAATATATATTGATATTATCACACTATACCATATGGTATTGGGTGGTATTACCAAATATATATTGATATTACCACACTATACCATATGGTATTGGGTGGTAACGAAACATATATTGATGTGGCAAATTTTTCATACCATATGGTATGGTCTTATTTAATAGCAGTCATACCATATGGTATTGACTTGTAATAACTGACAAATTTTTTTATGTCCAAAAAATATCAAAGTGGATATCATTTTGAAGAGCACAATTAATCTGATCTAACTGTGTAAAAAAATTAAATTCTGACTTAAAACGAGTGAGAAATCGGCCGTTAAAGATTAAAGGAAAGAAAATTAAAGGTTTTTCGATGAGAGAGAAGGAGGAGCTGATATGGTCTGGTCAAAAGTCAGCGTCAGCAATAAATAGGGGTAAATACAAATTTACCTTCCTGTCCTTTTGCATTTAATTTAAATAAAAAGAGAAGCTGACACGTGGGGACCGGGGAAGGGGTTACTGACCCATCAGTTACTAACTTGATCTGCTCTCAATTGTTAGTGCTACTGTGGACAAAATGCCCAATGTGTAGTCAAAGTGGTCGGACAGGTGGCAGCATCACACTTTTTGGTACACAGCGAATTATGTGTACTTAATTTTTAAAATGAACAATCAAAGGGCCTAGAAGCAAGCAAACACAATCAAACATAACACCTCCCAGTTGACCGTTTGTTGATTGCAATCAGGCTGTCACATCCATAATTTGTTTTAACCATTAACCAAATTAGATCATATTTCAAGTTCAATGTTAATTGATATTTGTTCTACTATTGTATATAGTCCACATAATTAGCATAATTGAGAAGGCCTTATTAAGTGCTCGCCTAGCCACTAGGCAAGCCGAAAAGGCAAAAAATACATTGCCCGGACCTTTTAACTGTGCAAAGATATGTGAAATGATTCAACGATGTCAGGCAACATCTAGGCATAAAAAAAAAAGCGTTTAGCTTGAATGGAGTGATACTAATGTGGAGATGGCCAAACTGTGAATAACAAAATTAAACTCACATGAAAAGGGACAAACGACATTGTCACATAAAAGTTCAACTCTCCTCTCGTCTCTCTTTTCGAACTACTAGCGCCATGTTATAAACAACACGACAAAATATTTGAACCATGTTTGTATGAGGATGGAGGAGACATTCGAGTTTTTTGGATCAATAAACATCTTGGACACGTAGAAGTGCAAAAGTGAGTGAGCTTCATAATGATAATTCGAGTTTGAAGAGGAGGATGATGAGAATGATATTGCTTTTGAGTATAATGAAGATTAAGTGGTGGATAGATGGACTTAGTTGAACGATGAATGAACTTTGATAATGGGTTTATGATAGTTTGTGTTTTTTTACTTTAGCTTGTGATTCTAGTAAGTGGTGATTAAGGGTGTGCAACGGCATGGTCCGTACCGGATCACATCGGAACAAATCGACAATTGGATAATAAAAAAATGATGGACCGAACTTATATTTGTACCGGATTAAATTGGACCAAATGGATTGAATGTAATAATAGTCTGGTCTTTGGTCTTAAAATGTCTTTTATTAATTAATCGCGGTTCTCATGAGTTTGGTTCGGTTCATACCAAAGTGCGATAAAGTTGTTATTTCTATTTAAACCTAATAGGTTCCATTCCCACAACTAGGGAATAATAAGCATTGCTCGAACACCCATCTCGCGAGTCTAATGCATGGTTGTCACGCCAGTGGCATGCCGGCTGGTTGAACCAGGTTCAACCGGTACCGGTCATGAAACCGGATGGAATGCCACCGGTATGATGCCTTGGTCAATACCGGTCAATTTCGGTCAAAACCGGAAATGCCGGGTGGTCCAACCGGAATTTTGATTTCGGAATTTCAAAAACGTCATCGTTTGGATGGAGTTCTGGGGACGTTTCGCGAGTCAGACCCAACTCTTCCTTCCATTCAGTCGTCGATCGCTAACTCAATCCTAGAGAAATCGACGGTCAGACAGGTCGCGACTAACTCTGCAGTAGGAAGGCCCGGTGAGATCGGAAGGCGGGGCGGATTTGGCAGCTCTGTCTTTCTACTTCCTCGTGATCCCTAATCCTAGAGTTGTCGGTGGCGATGCAAGCCAAGAGATCCAGAAGGTAAAGGCGAGGAGAGAGAGTAGGGAAAAAGGGAGAGCGGGTTGGATTTGAGGTCGATGATTCGGAGGTGAGTCAGGCGGAAATTGAGATGGGAATATGGAGTTTCCATTCTTGCTGCGAGAGGGATTAGGGAGTGCGCATGCGTAATTATGGAGTTTCCAACAATGGATTTTGTTTGGGATATTTTGGTAAAACCGGCGTAACCGGCATACGAACTGGTTGTACCACGGTTGAACCATTCCACTCATAAAACCGGCGCACCGGCATAAACCGGTTTGACAACCTTGGTCTAATGTCTTTTTAAAACAGCCTTACGCCTAAGGCGCTAACACATTTATGAAAGTGCATTCCTTTTTGTAGGTCCATAAACCAGCTAGTGTAGCAGCCAGCCAGCCACCAACTTTCCCCTTAACTAAAGCATTGTCTATTTTGGACTTAGACTTGTATAATTATGTGTTCAAAGAAAATAAATGTTAGTGGTCTTCCAATCACCGATCTCAACCTAGCTCGTTGTCAATTTGATATGCAATTATAATTTATTTATTTGAGGCAAAACGGGAAATATAATATTCTTGAATTTTAGAGCTAAAATGGCCAACTGAAATCATCGAATTGAAATTGATACTATTATAGTCCCGACATCTACCACATTTTACGATCAAGTCCTTTTCACATAATTTTCAATGGGCAATCATCAAAATAAGACTCGTGTTATTGATTGTGTGATGGTTTGATGTATAATGGACTCGCACGAAACTACACCGCGAATTAATTCCGATTAGTGCCCAAGTTTTTAAACTCTAGTCGGGTGCAGTATAGGACAAGTATTTAATTGTCAAACCGGGGCCGGTCCATGTATCTATACTTCAATCGCTTAAGTTGTTATCTAGCAAAACAGTTTTGGGTTTAAAACTAAGAAAACTACAAACTAAACAAGCAAGGAAAGTAAATGGAGGAGAATTCTACTTGAGAGGACTTCACCTGGGTATTGCTCCCCCTAGTCTCATGCTAAGAAGCTACAAACAAAGCTCTAGTGTGCAGGAAGTGTTCATACACCACAAGATGGACACAACTAGCTAGGAACAAACTCCCTTAGTCGACCAATGAAGAAAAATCAACAACTATAAGCTAGGGGAACTATCTCTCTTAACCGTTAGGTCAAGGATTGTGATTCATAGCTAGGGAACCTAGCCCTCCTTACCGATCAACCAAGGAGATCCCTTACTCTCTTAGTTAGATAATTGAGAATCGTTGCAACAAGTTAGAAAGCTAACTCTCTTAACCTTTCGGCTAAGGGTGACAACGATAGGCTAGGAAACCTAACCCTCTCAACTAGCCGACTAAGGATTGCAACCCAACCCCTTGTAACTTAATCCGGTCGACGGAGAGAGCAATCCCGGTGGAATCACGGCCCTACTTTGACACTTGAGATTTTGGTCTTAAATCGACCTAACGGAGGTTACCCAAGTAGCTAAGAAGTCTAGCTTCCTATTGGACCAAAAGGGGATTTCCACCCTCTAGGTCAATTTTACCCGATATTGAGTTAAACCTAGCACACTTAAGCATTCATGAATAATACTTTAAATATCTTATAAAACACTCAATCAACACAATAGGTTCATGTTCTTACATCCTAACACATAAAGATTCTAGGATTCACAATACTCAAGTGAGTGGGTAGGCTATTCCATATCTAAGCAAGAGAAAACAACAAAAGGGGAAGAAAGAACCATGAAGTGATGCCAATTTTTGCTCCTTATTGCTTGAGATACCCTTGAGATGAAGAAATCTTCAATCCTCTATCTAAGAACAAGCCTAAAGCTCCTTCTTCCTCATTTGATTTGCACTATCTCACTCTAGAAGAAACCCTAACATCTCACTAGAATTCTCTTCATTCTGAAAATTAAAACCTAACCTAAAAAATGAAGCTCCCCCTTCTTCATCCTTTCAGCTCTCCATTTATACTGAGATCGCGGTTGTGAACACCTAAACGCATCCGTGAACTCAGTGTCATGGCCAAAACGCACCACTTCACTTCCTGAGGTTCACGTTTGTGCTCAAAGCTCACGGTCTTAGCGACCGTGAACTGCCTTGTCGTCAGTAACCTTTGGAACCCCCCTGGACGCCTCGTTGTTCATGGTTTGTGGTCCCAGTTCACGGTCCTGGCGACCGTGAACAGCGGCTGGTTCCGGTATGCCCGCGCTTCACTGTCATTTGGACTTTTCTTCAGTTTTTGTGCTTTTGACCTCCAATTGTCCCAGAACTCGTCCTCGACCCTTTCGCACGTGCTAAGACCTGAAATGTATCAATGCAAGCACAACCTAGCATGAAATATGTCGAGAAATGATGAAATGCAAAGTCAAACTATCAAGAAATGAGGGGCAAAATGTGTACAATTGGACCCGAATCACTAATCAACAAAACAAGTTAAGCCAATATCAACGTACCCTTGCATAATGTTAATTTCATATGTGTTTCAATCCTCTATCTAACAATATATGTGTAAAGACAATAGATAAGATATAATGAACTTTTACAATAAATAAAGGAATAAAGTGAGTAGATTTTCCAACTGAGCCAATGACGAAGTCGATGAACAATACGTCTAGTCAACAAAAGACATATTGACGAAAAAAGTAATTTTTTTTATTGATATGGAGGATGATAGCAGGAAAATTATTTTTTATAGTAGTTTAGAGAGAAATGACCAAAAGTTCGAGGACCAAAAGAATGACAAAAGAAGATTTTTAACAGTCTGGTAAACTTCTGGTGCTGGTTAGTGATTTGCACGCCTGGCAAACTCATCATTCCCTCCATTCTTTCTTCAGTCTCTCTCTCTCTCTCTCTCTCTTCTCCAGCTCCATTTCTTCATTTGCTATTTTTCTCATTCCCTCTTTTCCCCCTTCGGTTTGCGCCTTTTCTCCCTCTCTATCGCCTTCTCCTCCCTGCCCCACTCTCCCCCCCCTCCATCTCTCTCTCACCCTTTTTCCTCAATCGCCAGCTTTTCCTTTGTCTTTGGGCTGCCTCCCCCGCTCAAAAGAAGAGTAGGGAAATCCAAACAAACCAAAAAAAGGAGGAAAAGGAAAAACCAGGAAAAGAGATTCATAATTGTCCCATCTTCGTCCCTAATTCCGTTGCTGCTGCTGCTTGCTCGCTTAGATTGGATCTGGGTTGTCCCTTCCATTTCCTTTCCAACGACATATACCCAGGTAGGCTTCGTCTCTTCAACCACATTCCTTAAATTCCAATTTTGTTTTCTCCCTCTTGTTTGATTTCCCATGGACTCGACTGGCGGAATGGCGGATGGGAAGGGTTGTGAATTGATGAATGATATTACAGCGAATCTGATTCTGGCTTTTTTTTTGTTTGTCTCCACGCTGCTTGTTTTTTTGATTTTTTTTTGCTCTGTTTGGATTTCCCTTTTTTCCAGTTCAAAATGCAAATCTCCCCCTTCTTTCCCCCGGTTGCTCAGTTTGTAATTGATCGAATTCAGCAATTCCGCCGTGGAATGCGTCGGAGATTGAGTTCGTTCCACCTCGGTCTTCTTCTTCTTCTTCTTCTTTATGTCTGTTTTCTCCTCCCACGAAACTGTTTGGCGGGTGGGCGATGGTGATGGCGGGCGGTTTTCTGGTTTTCTTCTCGCTATTATATAATTAGTAGTTATTCATCGATTAGAGTGCTTTTCGTGTCGAATTTTAGGTGTTTTGTGCCCGGCAATGATTTCTCATTTTGGGTTTACCCGCAAATTCGCGCGAAATGTGATCTCCGTTCCCGGGGTAAATGTTTGGGAAATGTGTTTTGCACTTGTCAGCACCTAGTGATAGCAGGGATTTCGGGCTGCCTCGAAACGAACTGGGTGCGATGGTTATACTCACAGGGGATGTTCCAACCAGTATATGCAAGATATGTCGAATGCTTGAATTATTAAATAATGGATTAGATGCATTCTGGTGAAACTTTTGCCATTTTTTCAATCGAAAGTGCTAAATAGTTTGTCAATGTCATGGAATGACCAATTGCACTGCTTGTCATTGCAGGACACCTCTAGCCCTGTAACAAAAAAATTGAAGTGGAGGAGGTCTAAGTGCGGAAACAGTATGTCTGTTTCGATGAGAGACTTGGATCCAGCTTTTCAAGGAGCTGGACAAAAAGCGTATCCTTTGCCTGATGAACTATTACCCATTTCGAGTTAGCTTCTCTTTTGTTTGCATGGTGTTGATGTTAGATTGAACTAGCTTTACTACATTTTCCCTTTTCTTAATGACTGCTGGCCTTAACAATATTTAGCGGTCTTGAGATATGGCGGATCGAAAACTTTAATCCAGTTGCTATTCCGAAGGCTTCTTATGGAAAATTCTTGATGGGGGACTCCTATATTATTTTGAAGGTATGTTTTTCTCTTATCTATTGCTTTCATTCGCATTATGAATTTGAAATATATGCATCATTTTACTAATGCAGAAATTACTCGTGAAGTGCATGGTTCCTTCTACACTTAAGTTCTTTAAAGTCTATTGGTAGTTGTAGGTTCTTGAACCATAGAGGTTGAGAATTTCAGTCAAAATAATGACTATTAGTATTGGCAGAGTAAGAGGTGGGTGCAGTTTCACCCTCTTTAGCATCATCAATCTTTTTCTTTTCCAATTTGGAAGTGGTGATTCATAAAAAAAATTGGAAGTGGTGGACTCCATTTGTTTACTTATAATTGTAAGAAGGTTTATTTAAGGCTTCATGGTATTAAAATTTATTCGTTGCTCATACTGTGCAATTTCTTTAAGGTTATCGGAAGGTGCATTGAAATCCATTCTAAAATAGCACTGATATGTTTGTGCCCTTGTCTCTTCAGACTACTGCTTTAAAAAGTGGTGCCCTGCGCCAAGATATACACTATTGGCTTGGTAGAGATACCTCACAGGTTAGCTTTCATTTGTATATTCTATCAGCACTTGAAATCCATAGTTTCCTGCTGTTTACTTATGATTTTGTGATGCATTTGAAACAGGACGAAGCAGGTGCTGCTGCCATCAAAACAGTAGAGCTTGATGCAGCTCTCGGAGGCCGTGCAGTACAGTATCGCGAAGTCCAGGGCCATGAAACTGAGAAGTTCTTATCTTATTTTAAGCCATGCATCATACCCCAAGAAGGCGGAACAGCATCTGGATTCAAACATGTTGAGGCCGAAGAGCACCAGACAAGGTTGTTCGTTTGCAAAGGAAAACACGTCGTCCATGTGAAGGAGGCAAGTGTCTTAAGAGTAAACTTTTGCATGTAGTCGAATGTTTTTCTTCCCTAATCGTCTAGTCTTGGTGCAGGTTCCTTTTGCTCGTTCTTCCCTAAACCATGATGATATTTTCATTCTTGATACCACATCTAAAATTTTTCAATTTAATGGTTCCAATTCATCCATACAAGAGAGAGCCAAAGCCTTAGAAGTGGTCCAATATATCAAAGACACATATCATGATGGGAAATGTGAGGTAGCTTCCATTGGTAAGTTGAGAATTATTCCATATACTCAGAGTTAGCTGCTTCATTCGTGAGGTTTAATATCGATGTCTTTTTGAACAGAGGATGGAAGATTGATGGCTGATGCTGAAACGGGGGAGTTCTGGGGTTTCTTTGGTGGCTTTGCTCCACTTCCACGTAAAACAGCCAGTGATGAGGATAAATTGCCTGCTTCTGATGAGACCAGACTATTTTGGTAACTCCTTTAACTCCTTTGTCTTCTATCTTCAATTTTCTTTCTAGCTATATCACCAATTATCCATTGTCACAAAAATTTCATCATCATGATGTTTCCTTTTTTCATGCTTTATGTTCCTTTCTCTTTGGACTTAATCTCCTTTTCTTTTACTTATTTGTTTTGCGTAAAATGTATTGCTTTATATTTCGTAGTGGAAAGTAAAATTGTTGACAACTGGTTTGAATAGAGGGAGAAGGCAAAATGTATTGCTTTATCCTTCGTACTGGACACTGAATGTTGGATGAATAATTGCGCTGGTTGTTTGTTTTCCGTCGGGACAATGTTTGAGCTTCAGTGCTTTATTTATTTGGATAGCATTGAAAAAGGTCAAGCTGAGCAAGTTGAAGCAGATACTTTTACCAGAGAGTTGCTAGACACAAACAAATGTTTTGTTCTTGATTGTGGAGTGGAAGTTTTTGTATGGATGGGAAGAAACACCAATCTCGACGAAAGGAAGAATGCAAGCAAATCAGCTGAAGTAATGATCTTTTTCTTCTCAACTAGTATGGATATCATTACATGAATTTCCAGGTGCTCTTTTCTTATAGTTGATCTCACTGGTCAGGAGATAGTTCACAATGCTGATCGACCGAAATCCCACATAATCCGGGTGATGGAGGGTTTTGAGACTGTGATGTTTCGGTCAAAGTTTACATCCTGGCCCAAGACAACTGATGTAGCTGTAGCCGAGGATGGCAGAGGGAAAGTTGCAGGTCAGCAAGTTGCAATATTTCGACTTTTTAACCTCACTATTTGTCTGCCCTGTTTCTCAAGTATACGCTTTCTCTTTGTAATGTTTATGCAGCACTCCTAAAACGCCAGGGGCTAAATGTCAAGGGCCTTGTGAAATCTGCTCCTTCAAAAGAAGAAGAAACAGAACCACATATTGATGTTACAGGAAATTTGCAGGTGCATGTTCGGCTTCACTCTCGTCTACATTGATCTGAAAGGATTAGGATACATGTAGATCCACCCTATATTACATGGTGGAAGTACTTTGGGTTTAGTGGAACAAACAGCCTTAACCAATTAAGTGTGACATTTGTTGTCAAAAATTAAGTAAATCTATCGAGAATCTACCAGTGGAAATAACTAGGTAACTAGAACCAAAGAAATAATTTAAGCTAGGGAATGTTCTCTGCTGTGCCTGGACGATATCAATGAACCTGCAAGGAATAGACGCTAGATAACTAAAACCAGAGAAATCATTTAAGCATGCAGGTTCCCTTCTGGATATGATAGTTCTGGTGATAACTATATTTATCGTGGTTTGGCGCAGGTTTGGAGAGTGAATGGAGAAGACAAGGTTCTCCTTCCAGCTTCAGATCAGTTTAAGTTCTATAGTGGGGATTGCTATGTTTTCCAATATGTATATCCGGGAGAAGACAGAGAGGAGTATCTAATTGGAACATGGTTTGGGAAGCAGAGCGTTGAGGTAAATCTTTCAAGCATTTTAGCGCGAAGCTGGGTTATTGTCTCACTACTGACTAGAACTTGTTTGATGGCACATGTTTTATGTTGCACAAAGAATTTAAATGCTTTTATTTCAGGTTACCCATATTAGATGCATATGACTTGATTGATTAGCTTATGTTTTGATGCACATTTCTGCTTTCAAGTAGGAGGAAAGAGCTTCTTCTGTTTCACAGGCAGGCAAAATGGTTGAGTCACTGAAGTTTCTGACGGCCCAGGTAGCCTTTTAACACTGATGTCTGTTATACTGATAACAACTCTCTCCTTCATATCTGTTTCTGACCCTGTTTCATTTCTGATCCATAGGCCCGCATCTGTGAAGGAGCGGAAACTATTCAGTTCCTTTCAATTTTTCAATGCTTCATCGTCTTTAAGGTTAGGATTTAAATAATTTGACCAGCATTGGTGGTGTTAGCTACTCTCCAAGTTATTCTCTTTTCAAATTTCCCCTAAGGGGTATGTATGTTTATCAGGGTGGTCTTAGTGCTGGATACAAGAAGCATATTGAGGATAATGAACTCGCAGATGACACATACAGTGAGGATGGTACTGCATTATTCCGGATTCAAGGAACTGGCCCAGAAAATATGCAAGCAATACAAGTTGAACCAGTACGGCAAGCTGTTTTCAGTTTCTAAAATGTCTTCTTGAAATTAATTCTTACATATAATTATTCAATTTTTGTTAACATACCATGAAATGTGTTCAGGTAGCATCATCGTTGAACTCCTCCTACTGCTATATATTGCACAATGGCCCAACAGTCTTTACATGGTCTGGGAACCTTACTTCGGCCGAGGACCAGGAAGTTGTGGAGAGACAGCTAGATCTGATAAAGGTTTGATACATTATCTCGTCTTATCAACTTCCTTCGGAATTTCGTCTACCATGCTCTGATTTCTCAGCTCTACTCATTCATTTGGTTTGAGAAATGTGTGGTGAAATAGCTGCTCAAGGTTTGCAAGCAGAATCATTTAACATAGAACCAAAGATAAAACTAAGAAGCATTCACTCTAATTCATGCTAGAATAAGGAGCTCTCTCTCTCTCTCTCTCTGGTTCAGTGATGTGATATGGGTTATCTTCGTCTGCTTGCTGATTGTTCTTATTTTTTGTGAAACTACAGCCAAATTTACAATCGAAGCCGCAAAAGGAAGGGTCGGAATCTGAGCAATTTTGGGATCTTTTGGGTGGAAAAACTGAACATTCTAGTCAAAAAATTGCAAAGGAAGCTGAGACTGATCCTCATTTATTCTCTTGCACGTTCTCAAAAGGTACCGAAGCTACCTTTTCCACCCACTTACATTTATTTCCTTATTCACCTTTTTGACTAGATGGCTAATCTTTGCTCCATTTTGTTTTTTTCCCCTCCTGATTTAATTCTGATGTGTGCTACCAGAAGGAACACTGAAGGTATGTATACCTTTTAGAATCGTGTATGGTCCTTCACATAAAGTCTTATCTGGGCTCTCCAGTTGAGTTGAGTAATGCTAAGAAATATAATTTTATTTTTGCAGGCAACTGAGATATATAACTTCAGCCAGGATGATCTAATGACAGAAGATATATTCATCCTTGATTGTCACTCTGAAATATATGTATGGGTGGGGCAACAGGTTGACTCCAAGAGCAAAACAAAAGCTTTGTCTATAGGCGAGGTATGCAAAATACTTTCTTATTGAATATGAATAGTATGATACTTTGATTCTCTAGCTCACACAAAGTGACTAAATAAGTAAATAAAGCCTTTGAAGTTCCGTTTATCAACAGTCCTTTTCCCGATTTCATCAATTCTCTCTTCTGACAGAAATTTATCGAGAATGACTTCCTGTTGGAAAAGTTATCACATGAAACTCCAATTTACGTGGTCATCGAAGGGAGTGAACCAACTTTCTTCACTCGCTTTTTCACGTGGGATTCAGCAAAACCTGCAGTAAGTGAATAGCATGCATGCCCTATATGCCAAATCCATCAGTACTACCTTTTACCTCTGACATTTGGAATATGCTTCAAAATTTGAATGCAGATGGTTGGAAACTCGTTCCAAAGGAGACTCACTATTCTGAAAGGTGGAACTCCAATTATAGATGTAAGCTTACAATTTCCATTTCCTAAACCATATTGGTGCCCAGATAATAGGTCTAGTTTTCCTTCAGTTCACAATTTATCTTCAATGTGATGATCTAGAAACCAAAAAGGAGACCAGCAGCCTCGTATGGCGGGAGGTCAGGCGGCACAGAGAAATCACAACGTTCTAGAAGTGTGTCATTCAGTCCCGAAAGAGCTCGTGCAAGGGGAAGATCTCCAGCTTTCAATGCGCTGGCTGCCACATTCGAGAATGCTAATGCTCGCAACCTGTCCACTCCACCACCAATGGGTCGTAAAATTTATCCCAAGTCTGGTAGCGCAAGTCCAGATTCTTCGAAGCTGGCTTCCAAGTCTGCCGCCATAGCAGCACTCACTGCAACTTTTGAACAACCATTGCCTGCTCGACAAATGATCATGGCGAGAACAGTCAAGGGTAATGGACAAACCGAAATATCCCTTTGCTTGAAAGAATAGTCGAAGCTTACTTACATAATTGATTTGTCTTGGTGTATGAATGAAGCAGCAAGCCCTCAAGGTCCGAAATCAACACCCGAGTCGGAGTCCGAAGGAGGGGACTATATGAGCAGCAGGATTGGATCTTTGACAATAAAGGAAGACATGAAGGAGAACGAACCTGAAGATGAGGAAGGGCTGCCGATTTATCCGTACGAGCGCCTTACAGTGAATGCGGAAGATCGTGTTGCCGACATTGATGTGACAAAGCGTGAGGTAAAATACATATAATCCAAGAAGGAAGACACGTTAGCATTCATGTTAAAGTTGGGGATGCCATTTTGTTGCAAGTGTTGTTACAATGTATCTTTGATGATAAATTTTTTGCAGACTTACCTATCATCTTCGGAGTTCAAGGAGAAATTCGGGATGGGTAAGGACGCATTCTACAAGTTGCCGAAATGGAAACAGAACAAGCTCAAGATGGCACTTCAGTTGTTCTGAGCTTGCATGCTTCATTGCATCTGGTTATTTTCGGCTTTGCGTCTCCATACTCGAGGTTGCAGGTGAGACTTGAGAGAGGGGGGAATTTGCTTATTCATCATATCTATAATGATAATGATAATGATAATGATTTCTTCTTACGCTCTTCCTTTTGGGCTTTTTTTTTCTTCTGGTTGTGGCAGTCAGGAAATTTGGTTGAGCACACAAGCTAAAAGGGACAGCAATCAGTGCATTTTTAGCTGCTTCTGACCCCCCACCCAGGAAGCTCTCTCTCTGATTTGTCGACTGATGCAAGGAAGTTAACGTGCATTTTCCCCATATATATATATTTTTTCTGGTGGTGGGTTGATTTGCTTCTGTAGCTCTCTCTTGATTTATTCGTTTGAGTAATATATTTATTCTTAGGCAGGTGGTTTGGTTTCCTCTTCTTTTTAAATTATTATTCTTTTTGGTTGTAATGAGGTCACAACAGAACAAAGGTTTGCTTGTGAGCTTTCTTTCGATTGATTGCGGGGTTGGGGTTTCTTTCTTTCCTATGATTCATTTGATTGAAGAAGAAGACGGAATTGATGTTAGCTCGAGTGAGGTAGCTATAAAATTAGAGCCTTTTGTTTCACTTTTCTACTCAAGTGTCAAGTGTATCATTCCATGCCTCAGTATATGGGAGATGGAAGTGTGTGTATGTGTTTTTTTTTTTTTTTTTTTTTTTTGTATAGAAGAAGAAGAAAACACTTTTGTGACCATATCTCTAGTTTTATCTTGGTGTGTCTGTTCAATAAACAGATTGAAGAAAAGAACCAGAAGGCAGGGAGTGCCTTTCTTTCTTTCTTTCTTTCTTTCTGTTAGAGGGTTCCTACTTGATTGTTTGATGTTAATAAAGCAAGCATTTGCTTACAGCAAGACCAAATTCTTTACACTTAAAAGGGGTGATGATGTACCCTCTGTTAGTCTATTGTGTTAGATAAGAGGGCCATGTAAGTTTAGTTGGTAAGATGGAGGAGTGTTAACACAATGTAAGTTTAGTTGGTAAGATGGAGGAGTGTTAACACAACTTGCATTAAAGGGGCGATAGTGAAGGACAAGCAAAAAGTTCATACAAATTCGAATCGGTCACCTAATAATAAACACAGTCAATTGCAAAAAACTTATATGATAGATCTCCAAAATATTGAAATCTTTTCAATCAAATAGATAATAGTCTCTTTGTCAATAGATCACCAATATGAATGTCATTTGGGAAAGTAGGATGTTGAGTGTAGTGGTGAAGTAGTCATAAACAAATGTGTTCAATCTTAAACTTGCCAATTGCCACAAATCAAGAAGTTCAACGTCCAAATCACTATGTATTAAAAAGTATTAAACTAACTTATATGTGATGATGGGGCGGGGCTGCTGGAAGGATAAGGAGATGGAGATGGAGATGTCGGCCGAGCAAGCGAGAGGTTTCTAGGGTTAGACTAACTCCAACCAAGGATGCAAATTTGGAGAAAGTGATGTTTTTCCACTTTTTCCTCTCCAACCCACTTTAAAATTGACTTGCAAATTTGGAGAAGTGGGCTTGGGAGTGGATAGATGGCAGCTGAAATGGAGGGAGGGGCAAAAATGCAAGGAGAATGTGGGGGGACCCTGCGGTAGCCAAGCCCACACGCAGGGGGCACGGTGGGGCCCTCCACTTTTCAGCTGCTGTTTTTTTTTTACTTTCTTAATTTTTGATTGGCTAGTTTTGAGTTGGGAAGGCAAATTTAGAAGGTTTAGAGTTGGAGCAAAAAAGTATTTTTGGGAGGTAAAAATGCACATTTAAGAGTTTGAGGGGCTAACTATAGCCTTTTGGGTTGGTGGAGTTGCTAAAGGTCGCCCTGAAAATTGCTAAATGTCGCCCTAAAAAATATAAAAGTTACAAATTTAACCTTTTAGCTTTTTTACCTTTCCTTTAGTAAACAAACACCACTTAGTAAAGAAAATAAAACATTATTCAAAAGAGAGAATCTATCATCGTCATTCTGGAGTTGGAATCATCGATATGATGTCTGGATCATGACTAGTGACTCTGAATCGGTAAAGTTCACTCCAAAAATTGGAAAAAAAACAAAAAAAAAGGAACCGTAGCTCATTTGCGGTTGCACCATGGGCCAACCGCAACTCACTTGCGGTTGCACCATGGGCCAACCGCAGCTCACATGTGGTTGCACCATGGACCAACCGTAACTTGCCTTAGGTTGAGCGTTTTTTTTTTAATTTCGATAGAGAACTGGCGACGACAATGGCGGGAAAGGCGCCACCGGACTGGTGCGTCGAGAGGAATTCACGAAGAAGGAAGATGAGGGGTTCAGTTTGAGGAGTTAGGGATTGTTTGGTTTGTTTAAATTTTGAAATTTTATTGGGGGTATATAAGTCATTTATCATTAGAGTTAGGGCGACCGTTAGCAATTTTAAGGGCGACATTTAGCGATTCAGATTATTAAGAGCATCTCCATTGGAATTGCAATTAGAATTGCATAATGACATGACATTCATTTGCAATCGCATAATGCAATTGCATTGATGTAGATGACAATTGCATCTTTGCAAGTTTGCATATAATGCAATTATGGAATGCAAGCCACATCATCTTTTTTATTATTAAATTATTCATTAATTTTATTATTTGAGTGTTTATGTTTTAATAAATTAAATAAAAAAAATTAGTTGTAATTGCAAGTTAATTGCATTGATGTGGTGCAATGAAAGTAAGATGAGTTGGATTGCAAAAAAAATGAAGTAACAATAAAAAAACAAATGCAATTGCAAATATCATTGCACCAATGGAGATGCTCTAAGGCATGGTTGTCATGCCGGTGGCATGCCACCCGGTTGAACCTATGCCGGTCATGAAACCGGCATGACACCACCGATATGACCGGTACGATCGACTTACGCATTCTAAGTAAAATGACATCATTTTAATGAACTTAATGAATAAAAAAATTAATTTATTATTCATTTTATGAATGTAATAGCTAAAAATTGATGATATTTGTTGGATTGTAACTAAATTGTCCACAAATATGTTTTATATATGATTAAATACATTAGATATTAATTGTTTTCACATTTTTTTAACCGGCATGAACCGACACAAACTGATTATACCACCGGTCGTACCATTCCACTTGCCAAACCGGCACAACGGTATAAACCGGTTTGACAACCTTGCTCTAAGGGCAGCTGGAGTTAAAAATGAGTTCGAAATTCCCGTAAAAAAGTGCGGGTAGTTACGTAATTACGCGCTTCTTCTCTTCCGGGCTCCGGCTACCGGGAAACGAAAGAAGAATAAGGAAAATAAGAAAAGAGCAAAATCTAAAATTTTCAAGCATTGAAATCGAGAATCGACTCGAGGGAAGAAGAAAGAAGAGCGACAAAGAAACAGAAAGAGTAGTTTCCAATTCACCGTGACGGAGACGGAGAGGAGAGTTGATAATGGTGAATTGACGCTGGCACGGCCCTTTTTTAAAGACTCGTACTCCTCAACCGCGCCAAGGCCAACCGGAGGGGGAAGCAGTGCCTATCTGAGAGTGGAAGACTGTTCTCGCCTTCTCTAGTCATGGCTGCAGCAGGTGGCGACAAGTTACCCATGGAGGTGTGCAAAGGCATCAACGGCCTCGACAAGGTGGTGCTCCGTGAAGCTCGTGGGAGTTCTGCCGAGGTAACTGCAATCTGCTCTTCTCATTTCTTACGTTGCTCTCCCACTGATCTCGATTGCGGTTTTCGTCCATAGTATCTTTGCAAATGCGATCTGATACTTTCTTTGATCTGCCTTCGGTTTTGCCTCGTCACTAGTCCAGATCTCTTCGCTATGGCTTGAAACGGTTATGCCTATGATCCTGAAGTCTGGTTTAGGCCTTGGTTGGTTACTTGGTTTCTTCCCTGATTGGGGACAATGTGATGGCCAGGTTTAGAATGGAGATTGTGCATTTGATCCAGTTCAGAGCTAATCTTACTGGCTTTTGAATCTGTTTCTGGATTGATTTGATGACTTCATTTACGTATCTTTCATGAGTTATACTCTGAAGGATTCTGGAAATGTTACCGTAAGACTCATCTGTTTCCTGTTCGACCGGGCAGTCGCCCCTGAGATGGTGTTAGAGTGTTTAAGCCTGAAAGTTAGGATAAGATGACGGTGCTGAAGATTTCTAGCTGCATAGTTGGCTGGATAAGTTTAGCTTGAGATGAAATTGGTGGTTGTGCCTTTGAATGCATGCATCATCTTCTGTATCCTTGATGAGATAATCCATCATGTCTTATAGTCTATCATTTCGTCTATATGACCTCTCATTGTCATGTGATAAGTCCTATCCTCACCCATAAATTTTGGTGTTTTGAAGGAATATAAAGACTTTCAAAATTATTACTTTGTTTTGTACTGTTGTAGAGCCTTCTGATGATGTTTGGTACTTTGGTTTGCCTTTGGCGGCGGGAAATGCAAATTTTTACCTTTTGACAGTCATAGGATGCTCTTTTTTGTTACTGATTCTCCTTCTTCGACTTTGGTGGTAGTGACTGTGTGAGTTATTTCTAATTTTTCTTTCTCTTGCACTCAAGTTTGCTAACCTTTGCCATTATTTATTTTGACGCTCCAGGTGTACTTGTATGGTGGTCATGTAACATCATGGAAAAATGACCACGGGGAGGAGTTGCTCTTCGTAAGCAGTAAGGTCATACAAAATCCCCTGTCCTTTATTTTAACCTGGCGGAATTCTAACTTGAGTTGTCTGTGGTTTTGTTAGGGTTCACAGTCTTTATCTGTCAAACTATCTTCTTAGGCTTTTGATCTTATAAGCCTGTACTTGGTACTCACTGACTTATAATAATTGATGTGTCTTCAGGCTGTATTCAAACCTCCAAAGCCTATTCGTGGTGGCATTCCTATATGCTTTCCTCAAGTATGTGCTTACTGCAACTCTTGAGTTTCTACCATTTTTCAATGACTTCATCTTCCCTCATGAGAGTTTGTTTAATGAATCGCAGTTTGCAAGTCATGGTGGCCTTGAATCACATGGTTTTGCTAGGAACAGGGTCTGGAGCATCGAGTCTGATCCACCTCCTTTTCCAACAAATTCTGCCAGTAAGGCTCATGTTGATCTGATTCTCAAGCCAACTGAAGAGGATCTGAAGATCTGGCCTCATAGGTGAGATACTTGCTAAGAAATGATGTACCGGGGAAGGTAGCTAGTATCTGTTCATCCACCAAATAAGTAAAAACAAAGGGAACTAATGTCATTGTAGGGTAGAAGTGTTGCCAACGTACTTAACCACTATTCTCTTTTGGTTTTTAGCTTTGAGTTCCGTTTGAGGGTAGCTTTGGGCCCTGGTGGAGATCTGTTGTTGACATCTCGTGTCAGGAATACCAGCACAGATGGGAAGCCTTTCTCGTTCACTTTTGCGTATCATACTTACTTTGCTGTATCAGATATCAGGTAATTGGACCTGTGATATTCTTGAAGTCTTACCTCTGCTAAACTATATATGCTCAAATTCTTGAATTTCTGCGTTCAGAGATTCTTTCACAGTATTTCTTCTTTGAAGCTTGTGTCACTCTGACTATCCCTGGAGTAGCTTAATTGTTCCCTAGAATTTGCTATCAGCATGCTTGTTCCCGTAGAATACTTTCCATTATAATTTACCTCCATATAGAGTGTACAAATTACACAACTTCTCTGATCTGCATCACGTAGAAGATTGATTGGATGCATTTTTCTTGATAGTCCACTTATCCATCTGCAAGCAGTTCTTGCTTTGTTTCAAATGGCCTTTTAATGTCCCGTATATTTTGCCTATATTTAGTGAAGTTCGGGTGGAAGGTCTGGAGACACTTGATTATCTTGACAACCTACAGAGCAAGGAGCGTTTCACAGAGCAAGGAGATGCTATAACATTTGAATCTGAAGTGAGTTGCCCCTTTGGCGTTTCAATGATTTCTCTTTGAGTAATAGTGTGTCCTTATTGTAAACCTCTCATGACCCATATGTAGATTGACAAGATCTACCTCAGCACCCCTACCAAGATCGCAATTCTGGATCATGAAAAGAAGAGGACGTTTGTGGTGCGCAAAGATGGGCTCCCAGATGCTGGTTAGTTAGAAACCTCATGAACTCATATTTAGCTTAAGAACATGCTGAATCCAACCTCTTGCCTTGTGCTACGGAGTAAATGTTATTGGAGATGAGGACCAATAAGTGTAGAGTTATGTAAATTGCTTGTGAATGAGTTTGTGCATTTTGTGTGTGGCAGTTGTGTGGAATCCATGGGACAAAAGGGCAAAGGCGATTGTGGATCTCGGGGATGAGGAGTACAAGCACATGCTGTGCGTGGAAGCTGCAGCTGTGGAGAAGCCCATCACGCTAAAGCCAGGGGAGGAGTGGAAAGGGAGACTGGAACTTTCTGCAGTTCCTTCCAGTTACTGTAGTGGGCAACTTGATCCGCAGAAGGTTCTCCAGAGCAGCTGAAATTTCCTTTTTCGATCCAATTCCAAATTCTGTAATGAAGGCGATATTAGTTTCTACAAATCCTGTACAGCTAAAAACTGGTGCAAAAATTTTCTGGGGCTCATGCATTCTGGTACCCGAGATCTCTCTCATTCTGTGGTTGGATGTATGGATTGCCATATATAATGATTTTTGTTGTTAATGCTCCATCGCAATTTGGTGTTTGCGTGTGCTCGGAGTCGGCAGATAGGCAGAGTCTAGGTGGCGGGTGGTTAGAAGTTAGGCTTGTATGTGCGTGCTTGATAGTTGTGCGAAGACTAGAGAGAGATAATGAATTGTGAATTGACTGGGATTTGCATTTCTTAATTACGACCAACTTGAATTGACTTGACAAGATAGTTCGATCGAGCGAGCTTAAGAGAGATGCGTTGTTACAACAGGCCGGGGAAATAATGAAGGGACGGCGTTGCAAGTCTTGGCTGGACAGAACAGAACAGAACAGAACAATCTTCCTGGCCACGGAAGGGGCGGGCGAGCGGAACGGAATAACCATCCATCAGATGAGAATGAGATCATGCCTGTTTGTCTTTGCCGATAAAAATACTGTGACAGATAAGGGAGGGAAGGAGGTTAGGTGAGGGATGGGATTATATACATGTTTAAACTTTAAACCCTCTGCCTACAAATATAGAAAAACAGGAAGTCGTCTTTGGTTAGTTGGGTTGGAACATGTGCAGTTGAGTTGTCAATTTGGAGTGGCTCTTATTAACGTTATCGTTCGGAATCCACAAGTGTGCTCCCACCATGCCACATCCCTTCTCTCTCACTTCATTTTATTGTAATGGTTGATGTGACTTGAATCGGATTATCAGCCGCTATGACTGGTTATATAATCTGGGTCTGGTCTGTACGCGCTCAATGTTATTTGGGTTCGAGTTCTGGGCCTGGTCTGTAATCGTTTTCTTTACCAGATTGGATTAGCTTTAGACCAACGTTGAGAAGTATAAATACTTCTCATTTCTTCTGTAATCTGTAATCTCCTCGATATAGTGAAACTGGCTCTCCTGCCCGTGGACTAGCTAACACATATTGTGTTAGTGAACCACGTAAATAGTGTGTCGTGTGCTTCTGTTTTTCATTTTCTTGTTTTGTCGATTCCAGCGATTTCCCGATCCATAGCAGCGCAGTTATAACAGTAATGACAAGTTCTGATCCAACTCGTACGAGATGACTTGTCCCGACCTATTTGGAGCGGAAATTGTCAACCAACAGTAGTTTGGAGTGGGACATAAGTATTGTTTTCAACCTGTTCCATCATATTCTTGACTCACTCTATCATGTTTTGCATTAGTATTTATATGTATTTCTCCTCATTTGACCTTTTTAAAATTATACTTTCATCTCAAAATTTATTTAATACTATACAACTATTTAGAGTCAATTATTTCTTCTACTATATTTCACATTCATTAATGAAGCGTCCCGTCCCGTCCCACCCCGCCCATTGTCATCGCTTATCACTCTCTCCGGACGTATATTTGGTTAGTAATTATTAAACCCAATCATTATTATCATAAACATAAATAAATAAATAAATAAAATACTTGTACAACTGTCCTCCGGCCGGCTAGCTCCTTGTGTTCAACATTCCTTCCTTCCTTACTTATCGTGATTGCATGTGCAGGGGAGCTACCTAAACACCCTTGAAGTTGTATATATAGATCGGTCGACTCGACGACAAAGAATACTCAACCAATATCCTATCACAAAATATTATACTCATCATCAACAGAGAGAGAGAGAGAGAGAGAGGGAATGGATACGCGTCTTCTCATCCTCCTTCTCGCGCCCCTTGTTCTGCTCCTCTCGTCGGCACAGGCACAGCTATCTCCTAACTTCTACCAGAACAGCTGCCCCAACGTGGAGTCACTAGTCCGCTCCGCCGTCCGGGCAAAGTTCCAGCAGACCTTTGTCACCGCCCCCGCCACCCTCCGCCTCTACTTCCACGACTGCTTCGTCCGGGTAAACTAACCTAACCTAACCTTACTAACTAACTAATTCCATCCTCACGACTTGACTAGCTATATATTATTAGAAACGTTAATGAATTGTCCCTCTGTGTTAATGGATGCATGTGTGCAAATACAATAATAATAGGGATGCGATGCATCGGTGATGCTGGATTCCCCGACGAACAACGCGGAGAAGGACCACCCTGACGACATCTCACTCGCCGGAGATGGGTTCGACACGGTGGTGAAGGCGAAAGCCGCCGTGGAAAGCAACCCGAGGTGCCGCAACAAAGTGTCGTGCGCCGATATCCTGGCTCTGGCGACCCGCGAGGTGGTTTCCCTGGCAGGAGGACCTTTCTACAGAGTGGAACTAGGGAGGAGGGACGGGCGGATGTCAACAAAAGGCAGCGTGCAACGCCAACTCCCACACGCAAACTTCAACTTGGATCAGCTCAACCAAATGTTCAACTCCCACTCCCTCTCCCAGACAGACATGGTCGCTCTCTCCGGTGCGCACACGCTGGGGTTCTCCCACTGCGGACAATTCGCCAGCAGGATCTACGGCTTCAGCAAGACCAACACCATCGACCCGACCTTGAACCGGAACTACGCCACCCAGCTCCGGCAGATGTGCCCGCTCAAGGTGGACCCGAGGATCGCCATCAACATGGACCCAACCACCCCTCGAACCTTCGACAACTCCTACTACCGCAACCTGCAGCAAGGGAGGGGACTCTTCTCCTCCGACCAGGTCCTCTTCTCCGACCCCAGATCCCGCCCCACCGTCAACCTCTTCGCCTCCAACCAAACCGCTTTCAACAAGGCATTTGCCGACGCCATCACCAAGCTGGGACGACTCGGAGTCCTCACGGGGACTAAGGGGGAAATCCGCCGAGACTGCACCCGCGCTAATTAACTTAACTTAAGCTACCTACCTACCTACTCAAAATGTAACTAATCATAAAGCACTGTTACGTTACGTTTAATTAAGATCCTCCCTCGATCATTAATTTGCATTCTTTCGCATCATCACTACCTAGCTACCTCCACATTAATGTACACCTTCTTCTTCTTCTTCATGATGCATACACGGTTCTCGTGACCAAATCCGAAATCAAATAATAAGACCATTTTTATCATTTAATTTGTTACAAGCCTGTTCTGTTACGTACGCACTCGAGTTTTTCAGGTATTTGTAACTATATAATATTATAGTTTGGCCTATTGTTAGGGGTTAATATGGAAAAACAATTCTGTTTCACCTTCTGAAACTAAAAAAAGAATCATACAGTCAAACTAATTAATAAAGAGAGACTAATTCATTAATTAAATGTACCATTTCATACTACCGTACGTTACTTACATAACCACATGCATGCAGGTGTATATATCATATACTACCGTTACTTATATTAATTCAAGTATGTATAATCATAATATTGCCTACCAAAAATCTACTCCGACTATATTGTTTCCATTACGCACTTTCCTTATCTGTAAGTAAATGCATTTTCCATGATACAGGAAAACACCCGTGCCATGTATATATACTTGAGCTTGGATTGGATGGACAACGATACAAGCAGTAGATCGAGCAAATTAATTAATTAAAATGGCTGCTATGCGTCTCTTACATGTTATAATTATTCTCTTGTTACTCCTGCCGGCCGCTCTTCTCCTTGTAGTAGTTACGGAGGCACAGCTTTCCCAGGGCTTCTACAACGCCACCTGCCCCAACCTGGAGTCATTGGTCCGGTCAGCGGTTCATGCTAAATTCCAGCAGACTTTCGTCACTGCCCCGGCTACCCTCCGCCTCTTCTTCCACGACTGCTTCGTCCGGGTAACCTTCCTTACTAACCAATCCAATATATATACATAAATAAATGTACCATGCATGCATACTCTACTCTCTCACCTCGATCGATTGATACATGAGATCGACGCGTTCGTGTAGGGATGTGATGCGTCGGTGATTCTCGCTTCTCCCACCAACGACGCCGAGAAGGATCACCCGGACAACCTTTCACTCGCCGGCGACGGTTTCGACACCGTCATCAAGGCGAAAGCGGCAGTCGACGCAGACCCTAGCTGCCGCAACAAAGTCTCCTGTGCCGACATCCTTGCTCTCGCCACCCGAGATGTTGTTTCCTTGGTATATATATACATTAATTCAGAATTGTACGAGTTCATTCCAATAATTATTGCCTAGTTTTAATTTTCACCATTATAAAAAAAAAAAGTATTGGCTAGTTAAAAAATTAATGGAGCCCCAAGTATACACATGTCATCGCCGACGGTACAATTTAACTGGGTTTTTGGCGGCAGAGCGGAGGACCGTCGTACGAAGTGGAGCTAGGTAGGAGGGATGGGCGGATATCAACCAAGGCTAGCGTCCAACGCCAACTCCCCCAGCCAGGCTTCAACCTGGATCAGCTCATCCAAATCTTCGCCTTCCATTCCCTCTCCCTCTCCCTCACCGACATACTCGCTCTCTCCGGTATACCGACCTCATTCATTCATTCATTGGAGAAGAAAAATTATATAATTTTACTTAGATTAGATGTGCTCTTATGATTTTGTTTCGTGACTATGTATGCCAATCATTATCAATTAGGGTCACATACGCTTGGGTTCTCCCATTGCAAACAGTTCGCCAAGAGGATTTATAGGTTCAACAAGACGACCACCATTGATCCGACCTTGAACCCGAGCTACGCGTTGCAGCTCAGGAAAATGTGTCCGCTCAATGTGGACCCTACCGTCGTCGTCAGCATGGATCCCACCGGTCCTCAGACATTCGACAACGCCTACTTCAAGAACCTACAGCAAGGGAAAGGATTGTTCTCATCGGATCAAGTCCTTTTTTCCGACCCGAGATCTCGACCCACCGTCGACCTCTTCGCCGCAACCCAATCCGCTTTCAACGACGCATTTGTGGCCGCCATCACCAAAATGGGTCGGGTTGGAGTCCTCACGGGGACCCAGGGTGAAATCCGACAAGATTGCACCCGCGTTAATCAACTGTTCAACTAAATTAACTCAATCTGAGAAAAGAGTGTTTGAGAGAGAAGAGCTTGCTTTTACATGCATGCTCGAGACCAATTGTTAATCTGAAAATTAATAAGATCATTTCGCCATATCCTACTAGAGTAAATGATGCTTTTTTAGGATGAACCAAAACAGAGGTGACAGAGGACGTATGACAAGAGAGATACAGACACTATAGCCCTAGCAGTTCAGTTCAAGGGTCAAGGGACCAATCTAAGTCTGGAGATATGTCAGCTGATGGCAACAAGTTCCGCAGATAGATACTGCAAGAAATTAAGACAATCACACAAAAGAAAAAAGTATTGCAAGTTTAACAATGACAAAATAACCAAGGAAACTACATTTGGCTAATGGAAGAGCCATTTGCCTAGTTACTCATCTTACAAACAAAAATTGGAGGTGAAGAGCCAATCTCATCTACCCTTCAATGTCAAGCATAAAGCAGTAGATTAGGTTAACGGCAAATAAAAAATTCCTCATGATGATGCTGGTACTGCTGCTGCAACTGCAAATAGCAAAGGCAGGAAAACGAGAAACCATCAACTCTGCTTTCCCATACAATTGCTTTGGACGGTATGAACAAAAGGAAAGGCAGTGTCAAATAGGGGCTTTATATACTACCTTTAGTGGGAGGTTCATCCTGTGGCTTCATAGCTGGGAAGAGAAGTACTTCCTGTTCCGAAAGAGCAAAATACAAGATGAGATTGGCACGCCCGTTAAGCCAAGGGGGGAAAAGAAAGACGGAGACAATCAATCTGGTCAAAAGCACAGACCTTGATATTTTGTGAATCAGTTAGGAGCATAGCAAGCCGGTCAATACCCAAGCCCCATCCACCAGTTGGAGGCAAACCATATTCAAGAGCGGTGCAAAACGTTTCATCCAAAGCCATTGCTTCATCATCACCAGAGTTTCGGTCCTGGTAAGACGACAACCCAAGTAAGACATTTTAATAAATTATATCTCAAGACAGACAAAAGATTCCAAGAATCTACCAAAACTACAGCTATACCTTCAGTTGATCAGCAAATCTATGTCGTTGCACCACAGGATCATTCAGTTCGGTGTACGCATTGCAAAGCTGAGAAATCAAGCATCATTAATCAAAAACTATTAAGCGAATTAATCAAACAGCTATTAAGAGAGAAAGAAAAGAGAGGGTTCGACAGACTGTACTTCATGCTTGTTGATAAACAATTCAAAACGTTCAGTCAAGCCAGGTTTGGATCTATGCCACTTCGCGAGAGGACTCATTATCTCAGGATGATCAATGATAAAAGTAGGATTTGTGCATGTCTCTTCCAGGAAGTGCCCCACGAGCTGTATCGAATGCCACAAAAATGATAAACAGAATAGGATAGATCAATACACGGAATCCAATAAAACCAGAAGGAGGAGAAGGGAGGCAGGGAATGAAAATATGAAAGGAACGCCAAAATTGGTAATAAATTAAACAGTGTGCCTCTAAACGAAATGAAATCAGCACATATGCTGCAGAATCTGATGCCTAAAATAACTGCAGATGTCTACTAGTAGTAGATGTAGAAGCAAGGCTAGGAAATGGAATAATTACTTTGTCCAGCAGGCGAGCTGTTGTTAAAGGGGGCGGACATTTTACTTCAAATCTCTCGCATGCAGCAGCCAGGTACTTGTTAGCCTCATCACCGGCGATATCCTTTGGAATGTTAAGGTTGGCCATCTTCTCCAACTCACCTATCATCTCTATCCTCCTAAAATTCCAAAATAGATCAATCAGGGGAACCATGACACGATGGTTACTGTTTTCCAACCCAAATTACGATGAGAAGGCAAAGGATAACTGCATATTAACCTGAAAGGAGGCGTGAAGTCAATTTCTATTGGATCTTTATCAAGTCCATTTGCATGATACTTAATCTTGTAACCACCAGTAAGTTCCTTGACCATTCCTGACCAGGAAAATCAAATAAAAAAAAGGCACATTGGTTCAATAATATATCATAAAGGCAGAAACAACCATGCCATTTAAACTTATGCTTTATCATTACCACTTAACAACTGTTCAGTGAGCTCCATGAGGTCGTTATAATCAGCAAAGGCCATGTAGAACTCACAGGTTGTGAACTCAGGATTATGTGTCAAGTCAATGCCCTCGTTTCTGAATTGTTTTCCAATCTCATAAACACGTTCAATCCCCCCAACAACTAGCTCCTTGAGATAAAGTTCAGGAGCTATTCTCATGAACAGCCTCATGTTCAGATCATTGTGATGAGTCACAAATGGGCGAGCAGCTGCTCCACCAGCAATCATGTTCATCATAGGCGTCTCAACCTGAGGAACAAAATTAGAGAAACCAGTTTGAACCCAAAAAGGAAAAAAAGAGTTGCACAGCATAATTCAAGGAAGTAAACACAACCAACCTCCAAGAAATCCCGGTTGTCAAGGAAGCTTCTGATATATGAAATTATCTTAGCTCTAGTCTTGAATATATGGCGTACTTCAGAATTCACCATAAGATCAAGATATCGCTGACGATATCGTGTTTCCTAATAACAAATAAACCAAGGAAAAGAAAAACAGAAGTCAGAAATTAACAGCAACTTTATCGTACATCAAAAGCTTTTCTAGTTGAACATACCTGATCCTTCAAAATATATGTTTCAGGATTCCTAGTCAATCCAGGATGCCAAACTTCAGCTTTCTGCTTGCAAAATATGAAATATGTCATCAACCTTATGACTAAGGCTTTAACAGAATCACCATTAGTGACATAATCCACTTACCTTCACACCAGCATTATCAGAACCAGGGGCAGCTTTCTGTCGTGGCATCATATGAAGACAATGGGATAAGACTTCAAATTTTCTCGGAAAAATGCTAAGTTCACCTCTTTTCGTTTTCCCTGAAGGAGAGACAAAGCAAGATTAGACAATAGCCAAATGAATAGATAAGAAAGTGACCAGATTGAGGAATCATTTAACAACAGGAAGAAAACTAATATCAACATTATGTGTTTATAAACCTGGAAATCCAGTGACACCAACAATGTCCCCACGTTTCACAGCAGAGTGAAACTTTGAAAAGTCAGCTTCCTCCATGCCAGACTTGCTGAATCACATGAAACAAAAACTCAATTCTTGAACATGATACAGATACAAACAATTGTTCAATCACAAATGAAATAACAAAGAGGCTCAAAAATATCAGCCGAAAGGATCACGCAAAACACAGAGCTACCCTATCAATAAAAAAACAGCACAGAACTAGATGATTAAAAGTATCCTCCATTGATGCACCTACTAACCCCCAAAGAAAATGTTAAAGAAAACAGGATAATGTGAGCAAACAAAAGCTTCAAGGGCAGAACCTTGCGTCAGTCATTACTTGAACCTTCGCACCACCGCCATGAAGATCATAGAAGAAGAGTTTCGAAGAGGACGAACGTTTATTCATGATCCGGCCTAGCAAAATCAATTATAGAAAAGAGTTGAGCAAGGTGGATCTCAGCAACAAAAGAAGAAGAAAAAAGTATTATTGGCAGGTCAAATACCAGCCAAAGATTCAGAAGCATCTTCAAGATGTTCCCCATTGTTCAGGCTCCCAAACTTGTCCACATACTCAGCAATGGACAGGGTGACGAAGAACTTGTGAGGATAAGGATTTTTCCCTTCAGTCTTCTGGACGTCAAGATACTTGATTCTATTCTCAAAATATTGCTACAAGAGAAGGATACTATGTTCATAAAAGGATATAATATATATACAATATATGCGAGAGAACATGTACTAGCACAGGCAATACCGTGGGGTCCATATCCTCTTCATCTCCGGCGGGTTTTGAAGATTGAGAGCTAGCCTTTGCAGAAGCCTGGACAAGAAGAAGAAGTACAGGAAGTTATATATGCATTCATCCATAGATCCCCTCGAGTAACAAGGTTGTTGCTCAAGTTCGGGGTCTGGCGGAGGGATTCATCTATGCATAGATAACAACAACTATGGGCAAAGTTTGAAACAAAGAGAAACAAAGTCTAGTCTAACCAGCAGGTACATCAGCCCTAATTCTCCCCCAACAATTACAAAGTCTTAGCCTTTCAATTGCAGTATGCAATATGCTTCTTCAGTCTTCCATTTTCAGGGATAACTAACATGAATTTGGCTCAATTACAGTAAACAGGGAAATTTGCAGTACCTGCTTGGCTCGTTCTTCCTCTTTGCGCTTTCTCTCTTCCTCCCTCTGCTTGTTCTTGAGCTCCTTTTTACGGGCACTGCAAAAGCGAAAATGTAACAGGAAAAGGGGATCAGCTATGAGAAATAACATAGACGGAGGAAAGCAGAGAAAGGAGCTAAGCGTAGGATGGGATAGAGACGGATTGAACTTGAAGAGAAACCATGGCAAAAGGGTTCTGTACTTACTTTTTGCTGACGGTTTCTTCAGTGGAATTGACTTCAAGATTGGAGACGGCCTTCGCGGCTTCATCGACCGAGCCCGCCATTGAAAGACTTAGAGACAGATGTCCCGTTGTCGGAAGTGTCTGTTTGTCGGCGGTGGTGGTGGGATTGCAGTAGGGTTTTTCTTTTTGCAGTTCTGCAATTACTAGTTCCTCTGGGTTTTTTCGGTAACTGCAAAGAGGCGGGGGGAGAAGGGGACATCTCTCACCCGGCAAACTACCTACTACTACTATGGACGTCGATTGGACCAGGTTGCGTGGGCCGCATGTTTCTTCGTTGACGCAGGCAAAAGCCCAAGGGCCCATAAAGAATTCTAAGGAGCCCAGATGTTTCTTATCTGTACTCATCGAGACCTGAGAAGATAGAGAGACGTGGATGGTTTTGAATCCCTGGTTGTCTTAGAATTGGCCTCTTCTCCCTCCAGCGTGTGCACTCCACTCCACTCAGATCCTTCCCTCATCGTCCATCTGAGAAAGGTAACGCAATTAGAGTGAAATCCCAACTCCTCGATTTGTTATCTGCTCCTCTTCTCTTCGGTTTTGGGTTTTAGGCGGCGGCATTCGAATTTCTGGCTCCGTTCTGATATCAATCCCGCCAAGCTCGGCCTCACCACCGCTCAGCCGCCCTCGCCCTGGCGCTGCTGCTGGTTCAAAATCAAATGCTAAGCCTAGGAGGAGGAAGATCATATTACTCATCTCCTTCCGCAGCTACCACTGTACACTCTTCCCCGTTCCCCTCTTCTAATATGAATCATGTTGTTGCTACTGCATTCATACACTCTGTGAATGTGATCATCAGATGAGATGTGAAAAACGGCGGGAAATTCATGTCGACTGACATCTGCCCTTTTCGTCTTAGATCAACAATCCAATTTCATCGCACCTGTTCTCCCGGCGGCGGAATAGGCCGGAGCCTCGATATGGCCGCAAATTCAAAGCTTCCGTTATGGGGATCATGCGCTACACATCTTCATCTGCAGGTACGTAACCACCCACTGCTCTGTAATGAAATTACGATCGTTGGGGTTGAATCGTTTTGATTTATTAAAGAAATTGTCTGAATTGAATCTCGGCCGGGGGTGGAGTGAATTGGCAGTAGTTGAGCGAGTTGCTGGTAGGAGGACTTGGATCAGTTGTGTACTGGCGTTAACAGAAGAGAACGTTGAGAAGGTATTGGATGAGGTTCGGCCTGGACTAATGGCCGACGGCGGCAACGTTGCTCTCCACGAGATCGACGGCCTGGTCGTTGTTTTAAAACTGCAGGGAGCCTGTGGGTCGTGCCCCAGCTCTGCCATGACCCTCCAGATGGGGATCGAAACCCGGCTTCGTGACAAGATCCCCGAGATCATGGCTGTCGAGCAGATCCGTGACACAGAAACCGGGTTGGAATTGAACGAAGACAATGTCGAGAAGGTAACATCACTAAAACCCCAAAACTCATCATGGCAACAATGGTTCTGTGATATGAATGCAAAGAGTTTCTTTGATTGGCAGATTCTGTCTGAAATCCGGCCTTACTTGGGAGGGACTGGAGGAGGGGAGCTTCAGTTGCTTGGCATTGATGACTACTTAGTCCGGGTTCGGCTCACAGGGCCTGCGGCAGGGGTGACGACTGTTCGTGTTGCTCTGACTCAGAAGCTTAGAGAGAAGATACCTTCAATTGCAGCCGTTCAGCTCACAGATTGAAACCCCCTTCCCTCGATGTTCCTTTTAAATTGTGTAACTTTAGGGATAGTAGTATATTAGCAAGAACATCTACAATTGACTCCCAACGCCTGATCAACATTAGGCGCTTCCTTCCCCTTTGGTACCTTTCCCAAATTTCTACAGAATACAAACAAACACTCTTTTTCTAACATCAATGTGACTGACGTACATTTATCATTTCTCCCTGTCTCCCCTCGTCCTCAACTATAACTATACATATAGATAGGGTACTATCCATTCAATGATCCATGCAGGGAGGGAGGACAGAATTATTCATACACTGACTCTGGTTAATTACAGCCCAAAAACTTAGGGAGTAGTCCGTAGTCCGTAGTCGTCGATCATGATCATGATCAATACTCGTCATCTTCATCTCCCCTATCCCTGATTGATCTGGCGAATCTTCGAACCACTGCTGCCGCAGCGCCAAGGAAGATAAAGAGAGCAAAGGTATCAAAACCACCGCCAACTCCGACGGCAACAGAAGGGCCAGGGGCAAAGAAGGAGAATGGAGACCATCCCCAACCGCCGTAGAACGGTACACCAAACCCGTACCCATAACCTCCCACCAAGGGCGGTGCAACAGGAGGGTTTACATATATGTTCGTCCTGCAATTGTAAATGCACCAAACATCCATAGGAATCTTAGATCAAGTATTCAGGTGGTAATTAGTTGCTAGCGCCTACAATTGATTAGAGTACTACCATCATCATTTCTTTTCTATGACAAATTGAAGAAGAAATAAAACAACTAGAAGCTGTACAATTGAACACTTGGTAGTTACCGAGAGGAGTTGTTGTTGATGCGAGGGGAAGAAGAGCGAGGCTGTTGCTGGGAGGAACGGAAGGACTGTCCGCCCATCCTGCCGCCGGACTTGGCAGCGGAAGCATCATCCGGTGACAGGCAGCCCAGGGTAAGCACACCTGCCGTCAAGGCTGCTACTATTGCCAGCTTCCCCAACTCTCCATTACTGAGGAAAAGATAGAATTGGTTAATTGATCACATAAGATAGCAACAGGGAGGGAGACAGAGAAAGAGAGCAGGATAGGGGATTGATTAAGAAAAAATACCGGGGAGGTTGAGGAGAAGCAGAGTGGTGGGATGAAGGCGGCGGGTGAGAGCATAAGACGGTGGCGGAGATGCGCAAGTGTCTGGAACTGGAAGGCAGTGACGGAGAAGCGAGGAGGACGGCGTTGCTGGCGAAGAAGCTCTGATGAGAATGAGATGATGCTATGGAAATCCACATGCTTGCTGGCAGATAGCTGATGATCTACGACGGCGGCGGTTGATTTCAAATGCTCCCGGCGAACAGGCAAAATACCGATTTACTCGATTGATTTTCTACTTCTCTGGCTCTGGATTTTTGGACGAGGAGGAAGAAGAAGCTGGAGGATGGTAAGTGTCGGGGACTGATGATTCCGGAACAGCCACGTGGCTGAAATTACATGGATGGATGCTTTCATTATCTGGATTCTGGAAGGGCACAAGCTGTTGTGGTCTTGTGGACTGTGGATAACCAAAAAGGGGTTTATAGGGTAAAATATGTTAGTGTTATTTTAAGTTTGTGAAAATTGAGTAGACATACCATTTAAATTTGAATAAGGCGTCGGATATTATTAAAATTGTCAAAATATGCATTCGTCTATTTTTCTATTTAACCTAAATTTTTAATTATTTTTTCATACCCAAAATATTTAAAAACATCCAAAACTATATTTCAACAAGTTTTATCTAATATAATAAATTAATAATTAGAAAACCTTCTAAACATATTATTACTAAAATGACTAATCAAAAATTTTCAATAAAATAGATAAAATAGTAAACGAATATCAAGAAGAATAATAAATATAGTAGGATATAATAATAAATATTATAATATATTGATTAGTAAGCGAAAATAATTATAATGATAATTGATTCTAAATTTTCTATTCAAAAATTGATTTGGTATCAAGTATTCAAAAGAGGATTCTAACTAAACAATAAAAAATAATGTTTTCATAAGTTCAAATGATTTTTTTATAATAAGAAAAGAAGAATGACCAATTATGAAATTTAGAAAACGGAATATTCAAAGAATATTCTGTCAACTTTAATGGAATGCACTTAGCAGTAAATTAAGTGGTATCGGGTGCACATATAATAGGGATTAATTACATAGGTGGTCACTGAGATTAATAAACGTTTAAGTTTGGTCACTCGAAATATTTAAATCCATTGTTGATTCTTTAGTTTACTGAAACCGTTCACGTTTGGTCACTCTCCGTCCAACTCCGTTAACTTTTGCTTACATGGCGGTCAACTTTAAAAGTTGACCGTTAAGTGAGTGATGTGAAAATTAAAAAATTAAAAAAATTAATCTTTTATAATTTCCACCTCAATCTTAACTATTAAAAAGATAAAAATAAAAATTATAAATTATTAAAATTAAAAACAAACGGAAATACTCTCTCCTCTTCTCTGTCGCCGCGTTCTTGGCCACAAACGAATACTCAACCTCGGCCTCAACTAGCTCACCGGAACCATCCCGGGTACCGAGTTGGTCGGGATCTGAATCCGCCGCGGAATCGATCGCTGCAGCCAAACAGAGAGCGTATCCAGCCTGCTCGTTCAAATCCTGCTCCGTCCGCCAGGGCTTCTCCCAACGCTCGCCCTGACTTCCTCACGAGGGTCATCGCTTGGATCCGCGAGAATTAGGGTTAGGATACGAGCATGATGGTGAAAGGTGAATTTCAAATTAGGGTTGCAACTCACCTCCGACATCTTCCAAACATGGAAAGCCATGTTCCTCGAGCGAACGAACACCTCCAATTCCTCTGTTACACATTGCAGCCCCGCCTATTAAGAAGCCACACATGCCAGACAGAGAGATTTCCAGTAACAATGTCGCTGCTTCAACAAAGCCAACCCACATTCCTAAACCCAAAACTACATTGGCAGCAGTAGTTTTAGGAACCGGCAATCACAACTTCCCTTAGTTGCCGCCGCGCGCGAATAGGTAGGCCACGGAGATAGTAGTAATGGCGGCAGAGAGTGGTCTGCAGGGGTCGAAGGCATGATAGGGGGTGACAGTGGCAGAATTGTGTTGCCAAAGGCGGGAAGGACCGCCTAGGACGGTTGGTGAATGGAATTAGGCAGATAATAGTGAATTGATTGGTAAGAAAAATATAGCGGCCGATTGATTTGCCGCCGAAGAATAATGGGGCTGTAGAACTTACGAGGGATGGTAAGGAATTCCGGGGGATGACAACGCTGGGATCGTGTGGCTGGGGAGAGCAGCAAGCACCCACCGATAAAGGGCCGTGTATGACTGGGATGGAAGGGAAAGGGGTTTCACATTCAAATTTAATTTTGATTTGAGTTTAATTTATTGTAAAAATGAGGTGGAAATTATAAAAGATTAAATTTATTATTTTATTAATTTCTTAATTGCCACATTACTCACGTAAAGGTCAAATTTTAAAGTTGACTGCCACGTAAGTAAAAGTTAACGGAGTTGGACGGAGAGTGACCAAATGTGAACGATTTCAATAAACTGAAGGATCACCAATGGATTTAAATATTTCGAGTGACCTAACTTGAACGTTTTTTGTAATCTCAGTGAACAACCATGCAATTAACCCCATATAATAGAGTTCAGTGGTACATGATGCCCTATTCAAATTTAAGTGATATGTCTTCCCCAATTCTCAAACTTAAGTGACACCCGATGTATTTTACCCGATTATAATATAAGTTGGCCCAAAATCCCAAAGGCGCGGGTCGGGTTTTCCATGCTAGGATAGTCGCCCTCTTCCCAGTTTCATCCGTCTCTGCCACTTAATTCAAATTCACTATCTCTCCTTACTAGCTTTTACCCGACCCGTTGGTCGGAGGAATTTTGTTTTATTTTATGGATAAATTTCTTCATACCTTTAAATAATTTGAGATTTTCTAAAATAGTTCCTTCATTATTTGAAAGTAGTTTTTATGGTATTTGTTGATTGTGAAATTAGCGATAATTAGTTAATGTATTTTTTTATCAAGTCGTACTAGGTGTATTGTTTTTTATTTTTTCATATCTTAAAAGAAATTTGCGAACTTTTTATTGTCAGGTATGAATTTGGAGTTGAAAGGAAATATATTTCATCTAGAATTGGTAGAAATTGAAGGTATATTAAAAAATCAAGAGAATAACAAAAATATTATGTCTAGAAATCTCAAATATGGAAGAACACGAAAAAATAATTCTTATTGTATAATTTAAGATAATTTAGTGTATAGGCTTGTTTGAATAATAATGGTGGTTGTTAAGTGTTTGACACTAAGGCACGTACAAATATTAAGAAAATCTAAACATTATAAAACCTTAAATTTACTCTACCAATACGATCTTTGACTTTTTACGTGGAGTTAAAAGCATAAATTGTCACTCTATTATCCATTTTTTCAAATCTATCCCTCTACTATTTTTCACATCAAACATGCCCGCGTACTATATAGTATATACGTTTTAACAAATTAATTTTATCCCCATTTTGTGGTTTATTTTCTTCTTTGGCAACTCTCAATAATTAATAGACACAATCTCATCATCCATCTGTTCCACTTCTCTTCCTTCGACCCAACAATAAATAAACGCAAAAACTTATCTGTCACGAAAGAACCTTGATGACCGACTTTTGAATTTCAACCACTCTCTGAAAGTCCACAATTATTGATCGATTCGAACCAATCATAAAAAGTTGAACGCAAAATTTTTAGAATATATGGATCTCAAATTATCAAAGTTTGTCAACCTGGTTTAGCCCGTTGGTCCAGTCGATTAAGTGGGTTCAGGGTTATAGGTTCAATCGTTTTAGTCCGCTTTTGCCCGGATCTATAAAAAAATCATTATATTGTTCATATATTTATAATTTACATAAAATCCCATCTACATATGGATAATATTCTTACTCACTCATACTATCTACATTTGTTTCTCTACCTGCTACTTTCCTCTATCCTCCTTCGCGCTCATAAAAAGCACTCCAACAACATGTATTCATCATGTGATAAAGGTCGCTCTCCCATGGCGACAGTGTGTGTGTCAGATGTGGACTTAATGAGGAATAACCAAGTGAGAATTGAGCGTGGGGGTATTTGCGAGGGAAGGCAATATGTGATAGAAGACGAGTTTTGTCAGTAGTCTCTTTGTCTACAGAATTAACTCAACGGATTTAACTTACCAATTCGCGGTGCGGGAGCTAGAATGGGAGCGTAAAAGAGTATATTATTCTCAAATTATAATTTGAGTGCCCCGAAAGAGCGTGAATATTATATTATTTTAATTAATATATCATTTAACTTACTAACATGGTTTGGTCAAAATATCACAACAATGCAGCGGGAAAATAAAAATATTTTAGTAGTATAATAGCTTCAAATAATCTGATTAGACCCGAAAAGGAAACAGACTTCAAAAGTTGAATAAAAACCCACCAAAGTTTACGATGTTGTTTTTAATTTTTTATTGGATTTTTTAAAAGGAAAAGAGAAATGAATGCATTGTTTATCCACCCTCATACACTCAATTAGTTCTTAACAAAAGAGTCTATATCTTTTTCTTCCCCTTGAATTTTATTTTTCTAAACCTATGCTGGAGATCTCTTGTATATGTACCAAATTCGCAAAGTCTATATTATATATCATCTAACTAACCTCCTATCCTTTTATTTAGCCCCAAACCCGTAATTTGATGATCTAATTCACAGTCCTCATTCACGAACTCGTGGTGTATCCTTTTCGTCTTTGCTCTCCAAATCTTTAGCAACACCGCATTAATTCCTTTCTCCCACGAAGAAGCACTCATCATCTTCGAGTAAAAGCTATTGATTTGGCTATAACTTGTTTCATTTTACTTTGTTATTAAATTTATCTCTCTACTATTTTTCACATCAAACATGTCCGCGTACTATATAGTATTATACGTTTTAAAAAATTAAATTTACCTCCATTTTTGTGGCTTATCTTCTCCTATCCTTTTATTTAGCCTCAAGCCCGTGATTAGATGATCTAATTCAGTCCAAATTCACGAACTCGTGGTGTATCCTTTTTCATGTTTGCTCTCCAGATCTCTAACGGCATCGCATGAATTCCTTTCTCCCACGAAGAAACGGGTCATCGTCTTTGAGTCAAAACCGTTGATTGGGTTGTAACTGGTTTCATTTTACTTTGTTATTAAATCTATCCCTCTACTACTTTTTTACATCAGACATGCTCGCGTACTATATAGTATATACGTTTTAACAAATTAAATTTACCCTCATTTTGTGGCTTAACTTATCCGTCTGCAACTCTCAATAATTAATAGACACAATCGCATTATCCATCTATTCCGCTTTAATTTCTCTTCCTTCAACCCAACAATAAATAAACGCAAAACTTGTCGGTCACGAAAGAACCCTGAAGACCGACTTTTGAATTTCAACCAGTTTCTGAAGTTCCACAATTATTGATCGATTTGACTCAACCATAAAAATTGGAACCCAAAATTTTTAGCATATCTAGATTTGAAATTATTAAAGGTTGTCAACCCGATTTAGCACGTTGGTTCGGTCGATTAAGTGGGTTGAGGGTTAATGGTCCAATCGTCTTAGTCCGCTTTTGCCCGAATATATGAAAAAGTCATTATATTTTTAATATATTTATAAATTATATATAATCTCATCCACATATGGATATTCTTCCTCGCCCGGACTATCTATAGTTGTTTATCTATCTGCTATTGTCCGCTATCCTCCTTCGAGCTCCTAAAAAGCACTCCAATAACATGTATTCATCACGTGATGAAGGTCGTACTCCTATGGCGACGGTGTGTGTGTCATGATTGGAATTAATGAGGAATGGCCAAGTGGGAATTGAATGTGGGGTGTATGCGAGGGAAGGCAATATGTGATGGAAGGCGAGTTTTGCCAGTAGTCTCTTTGTCTACAGAAATAACTCAACGGATTTAGCTTACCAATTTGCGGAATGGGAGCTAGAATGGGAGCGTAAGAGTGTATATTATTCTCAAATTATAATTTGAGTGCCACGAAAAAGCGTGAATATTATATTATTTTAATTAACATATCATTTAACTTACTAACATGGTTTGGTCAAAATATCACAACAATGCAGCGGAAGAATAAAAATAAAATTATTTTAGTAGTATAATAGCTTAAAATATTCTGATTAGACCCGAAAAGGAAACAGACTTCAAAAGTTGAATAGAAACCCACCAAAGTTTACGATACTATTTTTAATTTTTTATTGAATTTTTTTAAAAGGAAAGTGAAATGAATGCATTGATTATTCACCCCCATACACTCACTTAGTTGTTAATAAAAGAGTCTATATCTTCTTCTTCCTTTTCAATACTTTGTTTCCTTAACCAGCGCTGGAGATCTCCTGTAGATGTACCAAATTTGCAAAGTCTATATCATAAGTCATCTAACTAACCTCCTATCCTTTTATTTAGTCCAGGGCCCGTGATTTGATGATCTAATTCAAAGTCCCTATTCACGAACTCGTGGTGTATCCTTTTCGTCTTTGCTCTCCATATCTCTGGCGTTACCACATGAATTCTTTTCTCCCACGAAGAAGCAGGTCATCGTCTTCGAGTCCAAGCTATTGATTTGGATGTAACTTGTTTCATTTTACTTTGTTATTAAATCTATCCCTCTACTATTTTTCACATCAAACATGCCCGTGTACTATAATGTATATACGTTTTAACAAATTAAATTTACCCCCATTTTGTGGCTTATCTTCTCCGTCTGCAACTCCCAATAATTAATAGACATTATCCCATCATCCATATGTTCCGCTTTCTCTTCCTCCGACCCAACAATAAATAAACGCAAAAACTTGTATGTCATGAAAGAACCTTAAAGACCGACTTTTGAATTTCAACCACGCTCTGAAAGTCCACAATTATTGATCGATTTGACCCAATCATAAAAATTGGAACCCAAAATTTTTAGAATATATGGATTCCAAATTATCAAAGGTTTTCAACCCGGTTTAGCCCGTTGGTCCGGTCGATAAGTGGGTTCAGGGTTATTGGCACAATCTTTTAGCCCGCTTTTGCCCAGATATATGAAAAAGACATTAAATTGTTCATATTTTTTTTAATTATATAAAATCTCATCTACATATGGATAATATTCTTCCTTGCCCGGACTATCTACATTTGTCTCTCTACCTGCTACTTTCCGCCATCTTCCTTCGAGCTCCTAAAAAGCACTCCAACGACATGTATTCATCATGTGATGAAGGTCGCACTCCTATGGCGACGGTGTGTGTCAGATGAGGAATTAATTCGGAACGGCCAAGTGGGAAATGAGCGTGGGGTGTATGCAATGGAAGGCAATATGTCATGTAAGGCAAGTTCTGCCAGTAGTCTCTTTGTCTACAAAATTAACTCAACGTATTTAGCTTACCAATTCGCGGAGCAGGAGCTAGAATGGGAGAGTAAGAGTGTATATTATTCGAGAATTATAATTTCAGTGTGTCGACAGAGTGTGAATATTATATTACATTATATTAATTAGTATATCATTTAACTTACTAACATGTATTGGTCAAAATATTACAACAATGAAGCGGAAAAAGAAAAAGAAAATTATTTTAGTAGAATGATAGGTTTAAATAATCTTATTAGACCTGAACATACTTCAAAAGTTGAATAGAAACCCATCAAAGTTTACGATACTAGTTTTAGTTTTTATTGATGTTTTTAGTTTTTTTTTTTTTAAAGGAATAGAGAAATGAATGCACTGTTTATCCACCCTCATGCACTAAATTAGTTGTTAATAAAAGAGTCTATATCTTCTTCTTAACCTTCGATTCTTTGTTTCCTAAGTCGACGTTAGAGATCTCCTGTAGATATACCAAATTGGCAAATTATATATCATTGGCCATAACCTCGTATGCCTTTATTTAGGGCAATCCCGTGATTTGATGATCTATTTGTCAATCCCCATTTAAGAAATCGTGGTGAATCTTCGGAAGTAGGAAGATTTTTTTAGCGCTCATCTAAATCTTCAATAACTTTCTAGATCTCGTGCCGCATGTATCCTTTTCATCTTTTCTCTCCAGATCTCTGACAACACCACAAGTATTCATTCTCCCACGGAGAAGCGGGTCATCGCCTTCGAGCCAAAGCTGTTGATTTGTCTATAACTTGTTTCGTTTTACTTTGTTTATAGAGAGAAATTTTTTTTAAGAAGTGATATATGAGATAACATTTGTGAATTTTGATTTTCGATGCTCTGATTTTTAGTTTGATCTACAATTTCTAGGTTTTGGAAGATAGTAGTTTCTGTAAAAGAATTGTGAAGCAAAAATATCATTGTTACTTTCGTTCTCGTTGTAGGAAATTTGAAATGAGACAACAATTTTTTCATTTCAGTATTACATATTGTGTAGAGTGTAGATAAGGACATATACTTTCGCTACAAATTCATTAGCACATTTAAATAGGGTGAAATGAGCCAACTATTTGAACACGTAATGATTGTTGGATCCAATCATGTCAAAATAGAAGAGGTTTAAAATTGACGGTTAGCCGAAATAAAATGTTCAAAGGACCAATATCATATAGTTTACACAAAGATATGATTACGATTGTTTCATAGTAGGTCTAAAACTTAATACTAATTTAAGAATTACACATCACTTGTACATATTCAATACTGCAATTCGATATGGAATATTCGAACCAATGATATTTGAGCCGTGATTTTAAAGTTATCCTCTATTTATAAGACATATAGGAAATTAATTAAGTATTAAACAATAATGAAAATGAGGAATTTGGCCTCTGTTAATCACACTAAGTTTCAACTCAAATGCATGTTCTTCTAATAATTTTTGCTTCTTATTTGTATGAGATGAGTTCAACTGGCTCTATGAATGTGCAGCTAGAGAAAAATGAAATTTACTATAGTGGGATTATGATGGCTATTGAGATGGTTGGGTCTTTAGTCTTTACAGGTTCTCGAATCTAAAGCAAGAAGAAGAGATGATAAGATAGTCGAACATGGTATGTGGTGTTCCATGTTGTAGTGTTTTGTGATAAATAAAAGGATGATATGATAGTGTAGTTACGTATACAAATTGTTAAAAACAACATCGTTTTGAAGTGTCCCGATGCTCAAATCACACCAATTGGTCGGATTTTCCGATTTGATTGGGTTTTCATTGGTTTGACTGAGCCTGATTAGACAACCAACTGGGCCTTCGGCACCCGCTGAGATACTCAGGTTTAGGTAGAATTGGTTCAACCAACAGAGTCAAACTTGAATTGACTATCATGGTTATGACTCTTGTCTGTGTTTGAAGTTACATTAGTTGAAATCACAATACTTGTTTATTTTCTATACAAAATAAAGATAAATAATGGCGAAGACAAAAATGTCATTCATTTTTTTGCTCTCATTGTAGGAAATTTGAAATGGGACGACAATTTTATCATGCCATTAGTATATATTGTGTAAAGTGTATATGTAGACTTGTCCTTGCTTTAAGAATTCATTTTAATAAATAAAAAAAGATGAAATAAACCAACCTATTAAACTCAACCTCGTCTAATGATTATTGGATTCAATCATGTCTGTCGGATTAGGAAGATGTTTAAAACTTAACGGTTAGCCGAGCTAGAAAATTCAAAGAACCCGTCCCCAAATAGTTTGTAGAAAGATATGAATATGATTGCCTCATAGTAGTTCTATAAACTAATACTAATGTAAGAGTTCAACATCGCTTATACAAATTCGATATTGAAATTCAAATTGTAATATTGAACCAAAGATATTTGTTATATGATTTTAAAGTTATTCTCTATTTATAAGATAAATAAAAATGTAAATTAAGTATTAAAATATAATTAAAATAATTAAATATAAAAATCAAAGTATCAAACATCAATTAGTACTGAAGGAAGATTTAGTGACCTTAACTAACCGTTGAAAAGTTCTGTGATTTTTTAATTTTAGCTTCATGTATGTTTTTTATTTAAAATGATATAACTAATTAATCTATGTAGTCTGATTGGTTAAGATGTTTGTCATTGTTGAAAATGACCATGGTTAAAATCCTAGTATGTCTTTCGTTTTTTAGGAATGAATGAGAAGCAACTAGATCATTGCGAAGACAAGAATACCATTCCTACTTTCACTCTCGTTGCAGGAAAATTTGAATGGAGATGGAAGTTACAATAACCAACTTATTTATATTCTTGTAGATTTATTTCCTTTTATTACGGAAGGGCTATCTGCTCTTCTTAGCCAAGCAGAAAGAGATAAGGATTTCGAGGGAATTAAACTTAAGGGAGGTGCTCCACCCATAAATCATTTGCTCTTTGTGGATGATAGTGTTTTGTTCTCTAAGGCTACTAAGGAGGAGTGTGAAAGAATGAGAGGAATCCTGAACCTCTATGAACAAGAAACATGTCAACGGGTTAACTTAGTCAAATATGAGATCTCGTTTACACCTAATGTCAAGGAGGACAGGAAGCAAGAACTTGGGGCAATCATGGGAATGAAAGTAGTAGACTACCACTAAAAATATCTTGGCCTTCCAACTGTGGTGGGAAGGCAGAAGAAAGTCGTGTTCAATTATCTTGTTGGCAGGGTTAGAAAGAAGGTCAAGTTGTGGAAGAGCACACTCCTATCGGATGGGGAAAGGAAGTTCTTATTAAAATTGCGGCACAAGCTCAAATGACGTATGTGATGCAGGTCTTTCTAGTCCCTATCATTGTCATCTAGGAAATCCAAAGCCTGATCTCTAACTTTTGGTGGAGTAAGCAAAAAGCAGAGAGTAGAACCCACTGGGTGGGATGGAAAGATCTTTGCAGAACAAATAATCAGGGAGGATTGTACTCATGAGTCTTCACGAGTTCAATCTAGCTTTACTTGGGAAACAACTATGGAATTTAATTCAGAAACCTAGTTCTCTCGTTGCTAGAGTTTTCAAGGCAAAGTATTATCCTAATCGTGATGTCCTGGACACTGGGGAAGGTTACAATCCCAGCTATGTGTGGAGAAGTGTGCTAGCATCAAAAGATATTCTTAGAGAAGGGCTACGATGGAGGGTTGAAAATGGCCACAAGATTGATATCTGGCAAGATCGATGGATACCATCATCACTCTCTTATAAGATTGAATCGTCTGTCTCCCAGTTCACCCCTACAACTTCAGTCTACGAGCTATTGGACTTGGACAGCAGGACTTGGAATTATTCTACTTCAATCCTTTCGACCGACAAAGGATTCTAAAAAACCCGCTTCCTGGACAGCTAGCTGAGGATAAAAGGATCTGGAGTCATGAGAAATCATACATCTATACTGTGCCATCTGCTTATTGCTTCTTGATGAACAAGAAAGAAGAAGGAGAGGCTGAGATCTACACACCTATTAACTTGGACCAGATCTGGAGATTGTCCATTCCACCAAAAGTGAAGGTTTTGCTTGGAGGTGGATTAAGAACATCCTACCTACAGAAGCTAATATCTGGGACAAAATTAAAAAAGGCTGTGAAGAATGCCCATTTTGTGGGTCATAATTGCGTATTTTTCAAGAGTGTGGGTGGGTTCGCAGGGTCTGGAGACCTAGTTCGCTAAATTGTCTATTCGAGAAGGGTCAAGGACTCACCTGTGAGCACTGGATGGCGGAGCTTTAAGAGGCGACTCCTGAGGCTCTAATCGGTCAATTTATTGTAGCGCTATGGGAAGAGAGGAACAATCAACTTTGGAATAAACACAAATTGGATGGTTTTGAAATCATGGGGAAGGCAGAAAGATGGCTCACAAAGTACCTTGAACTTTAGCAATCACAGGCAGGCGAACAGGGAAAATGCGAATATTTGTGGGAGCCTCCTCGGTTGTCTGGTTTCAAGGTAAATGTCGATGTTGCATGTTTCCAAGGCTAGGGATCGAATTTTGGGATGGTGGTTCGAGTCAAGGATAAGAATTTCTGCTTCGTCGAAGCCGGATCCAATGGTCACCGAAGATGGTCAATGCCTGGCGATCAGATGGGGGTTGGATTTGGCTGTGGAGAATGGATTTGTTAGCTGCGAAAAGGAGACTGATTGTCTGACTATCGTCCAACACCTTCACAAGGAGGACAGAGGTGGGAGTGGCTTGTAGGGAGCTATGTGATTGATTGAAGGAACTGGGCTTAGTGCAAGTGAACTTCACGGGTCGGCTTAGCAACCAGGCTGTCCACCTAATGCCCCATACCAAATGTGGTTGGGTGAGACAAAATGTTGGGCCTCTAGGCCCCCTATCTTTTTGGTTTCACAACAGATTGCTAATTCATGTACTATTTCAACCAATTAAATGAAATAATACATGCCATTTTAAAAAAAAATTCAAATTCACTATATTCCAGCTCGTCTTCCAGATCGATTGCGTTTCTGGGCTCAGTTGGTGGCTCTACTCTGATTTCTTTCTTTTCCCTATTCCGCTAACAATCAACAGATCTACTCAGTTTCTTTTTCCTTCTTTCTTCTCTCACTTTTCTGAAATACCTTCTCGGATCATTTGTCATCTTTTAAGCGCATAAATTTCTACTATTTCCGGTCATTTTCCAGTGGCACTATACCGGGATCCATGCAAAATATCACGGAATAAAAAGTATCGTGAATATTTTTTCCATAGCGCTAAATATCATCAATTTCAATTACTCGTCAATTTATCGCGTTTCACTTTTTGTTTTCAGGATCCGAAATGTTTCGCGTTTCGGCGTTTCACTCGCCATACACGCGTTTTGTATCCTAGTATCACGATTTACAAAAAATGCGATATTTTTGTCCTATCACGATGTTTTATTTTTGTCGCGGTTTCTTACATATTGTCGCGATATTTAAATTTTTATCACGATACAAATTTGTTTCTCGCGATATAAATATACATGTCGCGATATTTAACTTTATACCACGACATAATGATATTTTATCTCGATATTGAACTTTGTACCTTGATATAATGCTACTTTTTGCCATATTTAAACTTTCTAATGCTATATAAGCCATTTATTGCGTTGTTTTCACGTATATCGCAATATATAGCCTTGCAACCCGATATAATGCAATTTATCGCGCAGTAAGATTGGTTTTTTTAAAACGATTATTCGCTGCTTGAACCATTTCTGTACTTCAAGAGGAGAACCAGCATTCGATGATTCACCTGAAAACCATTGAATGAAGAAGAAAAAAAAAGGGAGTATTCCATGGATATTATTATATGTGACATTGTGACTAGGGGTGGCTATACAGTCTGGTCCGATTAAATTGGACCAGATTGATCCGGTCCCAGTCCAGTCTTTTCGGGAATATAAGAGCCAAAGATTGGATTGGATACAGTCCAGTCTTGATCTGGTGAGGTCTTGACCCGGTCCGGACCAATTTTATCTTGATTTTAGGTGTTGGGACTTGGGAGTCTCTTATCCGGTCTTTTACCTAAAATCTAAGCCCAAATATGAGATTGCATTGTTAGCTATCCGGTCCCAGTCGGTCCCGATCCCGGTTATACGGTCCGGTTTCGGGTAAAACCAAACAGTCCGCGACCAAATAGCCAGCCGTAATTGTGACTTCAACCTTTCTCCGCCTACCACCACAATCATCATTCAGTCTGCGAATTGACGAAAGCAGAAAGAATACTTTTTCTTCTTCATCATCATCATATAAAAAAAAAAAAAGACATGCAAGTAGAACACTACGTTGTACTCCACACACAAAAAAGAAGAGGCACAAATGAGACGAGAGATGACACAGACAGTACTCTGAAAATCTGAAATAGCTATAGTCACTATGGAGGAGAATCCCTCCAGACCTGCAGCAGCACCCCACTATCTGCTGTTTCTGAATAAAAGGGAAAAGATAGCCCACCAATCCGCACACGGCTACCCCATTTTATCTTATGATAATATGAAACAAACCAAAAGGAGGAAAAAGAAACAAGGCAGGAACTAATAGGCCCTAACCTACTACTCCTTTCCAGCAGAAGAACCCCATAAACTTAGGAAAGCAGAGACCAATTTCTTCATCACAATCTCTGGTCTTAATTACTTGATACAATGCAAAAGGAAACATGTTTGTTTTGCCTCTTTGTTCTTATTACGGGGTTATGTCATTCGTCGATGTCTTCCTCCTCTCTCACAAACAAACTACAAATGCTCTTGGCTATCTGGTTGCCGCCTGCGTCTCTTCCTTCTTCCCTTCCCAGACCGACCATTGATGGCCGACTCGTCAGTCAGTCATTAAACGGTGTAATGCTGTTGGATGGTGTCAATATCCAACCCCTTCAGCTTCACCACCGACTCCACATGTCCCTTCAGCGTCAGCAATTCCCTAAGCCTGTTTTGTTCCATCATCACACACGTTACATAAATAACAAGAGAAATGAAAAATACCAATCCACTTGCTAATAGTAAGTCGATTGATTACCTTGCAACCTCAGCCCTCCTCTTGGCCTGCTCTGCTATCTCTGTCAGTTCTCGGTAGCTACTCTTGTCGTTAAAGATCCCACCGGAGCTCTCCGGTGGCGGCTGAAGCCCGTGAAGCGTCCTTTGAGCTAGTGCCCATTGCGCTTCCCTCTCTTCTTTTCCGTAATCCTTCTTTGTCGTGAAGGCTGTCTGTAAACACAACAAAAACAAATGAACATATATTAAACAATGTATGCATTCAGTATGCAAACACAAATTACACAACGAAGTAGGCCCAAACAGTTAGTTAGTTAGTTAGTAAGTTGATACCTTGTTCTCTAGCATGTTGGTCCAGGCCTTTCCACTCAAGATGTAACGGATGGCGAACTTCATTATATCTAGCGGGAAATAGAACACAATGCTGTATAGCCACACCACACCGGCCCATCCCCACCCGATCCCCTTAATCCTCGCAAAACTCCAGTTTGCATAGACTGCCAGCACAGTTGCGACCTACAAATACCAGGAAACAAAGAACAACATATTATTTGCATCTGTAAATATCTACCGTCATTCAGCAAAATGTGTAATCAACGCTGTTCTTATAAACCATCTCAGGAACAAGTGGTACCTATATACAAAACTGCAATTGCAGTCTAGAAATACAGCTCCAAATTCTACACTTAAATATATACTCTTGACAAGGAACTTTGCCAGAGACTGACGTACCAGTTGAGCAAGGGCGAAGGCAATCATTAGGAGCCAGCCAGGGCGTTCCACAAATGACCAGCTACGTGACCTTGTAACGAAGATGAGTGCCTGGCTCACTATACTCACTTGAAGGTACAGCGCACTCATCATCTCATGTTCGCTGTCCCTGATAGACTTCACTCCAAATTTGTCCTGCATTGCCAAGTTTGACGCATTCTTGTTAGTTCTGTTCGTACCAAAAGATTGAGATGACTTGATTAAATATATGTAACAATTCTCATGTCTCACAGAGAAGAAGTCTGTCTTATGCATTGCCCAGAAGAATATGACAGTCATCAAGGCCATGTAGCCACCTAGCACCACTCCCGTGCAAAAGATTTCCTTCAATTTCCAGCTATCCGGCAGAGGGGATGGCTTCACTCTGTCCTTTGAGATTGTCATGATCGTACCTGCAAATGTACAAAGCCGAAAACAATCAGTATGCTATTAGATTATGATACTGCGGCACTAGTTCATGCTCGGTGGAAACTAACCATCGTTGAGGATGGCAATGATCAGAACCATGAAAGGTGAGAAATCAAACTTCCAGATCAGAGCAATGAGCATGAAACCAAACTGCAAAGGAACAACAAATTAGGACCAAACATCTTTTCTTTTACCGCATAAGTTTTAAGTGTTTGTACAGCCATCTACTTACCACTATACGGATAGTGATGGAGACTGCATAAATCTGCAAAAAGAGAAATGGGTGCGAAGAAAGTCTTAGTTCGAATATCACAAGACAGAGAAAGAGGTTGAAAGATTAGTGATGTTTTAGGATCAGTGCAAACTTACAGTGTAATTTTTCATTCTCTGGAAAATGGCTCTGCTAGTCAGCACTGCACTAATAATAACACTCAGACCAGGCTCTGTAAGAACAATGTCGGAAGCACTTCGGGCAGCATCTGTAGCGTCAGCGACAGCTATACCAATGTCAGCCTTCTTCAAAGCAGGAGCATCGTTCACACCATCACCAGTCATCCCAACAATGTGCTTCCTCTCTTGTAACTTCTTCACAATTTCATATTTGTGCTCTGGAGAAGGAGAAGATAACCAGTGCTTATGGGGGGAAATAATCAAATGAACCAAAAACATGATAGCTGATAAACAAAAGTAGCCCCTCTCACCTGGGAAGACCCCAGCAAAACCATCAGCCTTCTCGATAAGCTCTTCAACAGGAATAGCAGCAATGTTTGAGTCCTTATCCTGACCCAGCAGGGCAGCAGATGGATACATATTTGTTCCCATCCCAAGTCTTCGTCCAGTTTCTTTGCCAATAGCGAGTTGATCACCTAGAATCACAATGGAAAAAAGTGTAGAAATGATCAGCAACAATTATTTCACAATGCAGGTCAGTATCCAATGAAGGGATAGACTATTTCAGATTACCAGTGATCATCTTGACATTCACTCCAAGCTGAAGAGCTCGGCGGATTGTTTCAGCACTGTCATGTCTAGGAGGATCGAAGAGGTTCAACAAGCCAACAAACTCCCAGGGACCACCAGGGCTTTCCTTTGTTTTCTCTGGCACCTCCTGCCTAGCAACGCCTAACGACCGAAGCCCACGTTCAGCAAATTTCTCAATAACAGAGTGGACTTTCCTCCTCAGATCTTGACTTGAGTGGCACAGCTCCAGGATCTGATAACATTCAGGAAGGATAAAGCGTTAAGAATCAAAACCAGAAGTACAAGAAGATACAAGGAAGTACAAGTTACCTGCTCTGGAGCTCCTTTACTTGCACGGTACCATTTTCCATTGGATTCGTCGATGTAAGTGAGAGCAGTTCTTTTGTCCACAGGATTAAATGGGAGGAAATGGACTTCTCGAATACCTGCTCTTGCCTGCAGAATAATTGTGTTATTGCAGGGTAGAATAGGTCAGGAATCTCTTTCACAGAGTGATAGGAATTTCTTTTACCTCCTTAGGGTCAGCAAGCATGTTAACCATACAAGCGTCGATAGCATCCTGATTCTCAACCCTAGAAGCCCTGGCAGCACTCAGGATGACATATTCCTTGTCCACACCTTTAATAAACACCTCAATCAAGTTTTTGTCGATGCTGAGTTTGTTGAGGGTCAAGGTTCCAGTTTTGTCACTGCACAGAACATCCATGCCAGCCATCTCCTCAATGGCAGTCATACGTTTGGTGATAGCTCCCTGCTGAGAAAGCTTGTGGGATCCGATAGCCATTGTGACAGATAAGACTGTGGGCATAGCGATAGGGATACCTCCGATCAAGAGAACAAGGAGGTTATCGATTCCTTGCCTGTACGGACGGTGCTGAATTGGGTACATGACAACAATCTCTATGACTATTCCAATTGCTATGGAACAGATACAGAAGTTCCCAATAGCAGTTAGAACTTGCTGGAAGTGTCCAACTTGATTGGTACTATCCACCAAATGTGCAGCCTTCCCGAAGAATGTGTGGACCCCAGTTGCTATAACAACAGCCTCGAGCTCTCCTTGTTTGCAAGTTGAGCCAGAGAAAACCTCATCACCTGGGTGCCTGGTTACAGGAAGTGATTCTCCTGTGAGGGCTGATTGATCGATCTTTAAGGGATCACCTTCAAGAAGGCGGGCATCAGCAGGGACGATGTCACCCAACTTGATACTAATGATGTCTCCTGGAACTAGGACTGCAGCATCCTGTTCACTCCATTTACCATCTCTAAGAACCTATATCCACAACAAGCAAAATATCCCCAAAGTGTCACCAAGGTGCTTATTGCATCGATTAAACATCATATCCAAACAATCATATGATTAAACAATTTACCTTGGTCTTAGGGGCAAGACCAGCCATGAGAGCTGCAGCAGCATTACCAGCATTGTTTTCCTCGATGAAACTAATGGTGGAGTTGATTACCAACAAGCAGATAATACCAACAAAGTCTTGCCAATCTGGTGGCTTTCCACCGCCATTTGCCAAGGCAATTGCCATAATGGCAGCAGCTTCCATAACCCATGACAGCGGATTCCACATGAAACCCAAGAACTTGAGAACCTTGCTCTCCTGTTCAATGAAAGGAATGCTAAATCATGAATATTGTTTACCTCGGTGGAAAGTGAAATGTGCATGGATAATCGATACAACACAACAAAAAGGTGACGAGCAGACCTTTTTCTCTTCGAGCTTGTTCGGGCCGAAGATCTGGAGCCTGTTGGCCCCTTCGTCGGAGGACAAACCTTCCCGGGTACATTTCAGCTGCTCAAACACCTCCTCGAGAGGGATCTTTTCCTGTATATTTCCACAGAAGAACAATTGTGAGCAGACAGAGCACGACACAGAATATAAACTTGATAACCTGATTATCTTGGGGAAACCACGAGCCACACATGCACTTGCATCCATACATACATATATAATACGTCCATCATAACAATCCAGATCATGACAGTAAGTTATTGTGCCTTCAGAGCACTAAATATAAATAAAAGATATTCTAGTTACAGATTGGCTAGCATGTCCACTTATTGGGTCAACCAGCTAAGCTAGGCTACATCAACTTCAGAATCGTTTCATGATTTCGGTTAAGCCAGTTAAATAAGGGAAACGAAGCTAACAAAACATGTTTCGGGTTGAAAAAGAAAAGCCATAGCAGTTTGATGTGATTTAGACTGATCATGTTTTGATCTATTTTACTGCTGTTAATTAAATTGATTATTGTATTTCTCAGTACACACAAATAGCTGGGTCATCCAAAATCCCTAATCCCCTTGCCGTCAAAAGTACGGCAGTACTTGCTGCATAAAGCAACCCAAGTGGGAGCAGGCCGGCGGGAAAAACCAAGAAAGTTTTGGCGTTGACCCGTGAGTAGTGGCGCGGGCTGTGGGTGGGGACATCGGACCAACGAACAACAACCCTCCTTTTTTATTTATTTATTCCGATTTGTTGTTTTGTGTGCATGTGATTGGTCCGTTATAGCAACAAAGAAAAACAAGGCACATGCCCCCACGCCACCACCGCACCAGAAAGACCGGTGGTGGTGGTGGTGGTGGTCGAAGGGCTCCCGAAGTCCAAGATAAAACTGATGAAATTAAGTAACAGAAAGGAGTAGTTAATTAATAGTGGTGAAATCTAATCGTTATCCTCCCTCACCCCACCGTCGTCTATCCATCGACTGAAACCAGAGAGGGAGACATGAAGAAATTGATCGAATATATTATATATATTTATATATATACGGAAGGAGAAGGAAAAGGGGGAAATATGGAATGGTGTTTATCTCTGAGGAACCAGAAATGGTTGGCACTTGGCAGGGTTTCCTTTGTTTTCCACCCATTTTTATCTTCTTGTGCCCGTAATAACAATTATTATTCTTTAAAAAAAAAAAAAAAAAAAAAGAGTACCACGGAAAAGGAAGGGAAAAGTTTGGTATAGGATACCCCTGATGGGCCCTGTGCTTATTGTTGACTGTTTCCCTCCCCTTCCTCAGTTGCTCTCTCTTTTCTTTACTACTACTCGCCGAAAACATAAAACACAGAATAGCAAACGCAACTTGGATCGTGGAATGCAGTGGGAACAAACACACAAAAACAGAGGCCGCCAGAAAAGAATTTACCAACCACTGAATCAATTTTACTATTAGCAGAGGTAGCAGTTGTAATTATGTGAAAACAAAACGGAAGAGGAAAGGGATTTTTGCAGGAGAAAACAGCTAAGATTGGCGAAGATACAAAGCGAGATCAGTCAGGTTAATCCCGCAACTCTTAGCTGGGCGAATCAAAAATGAAATTGAACAGATTAAAGCTAGAGAAACACGTACATACAGAAGAATTGAATAACAAGACGCAATCACACAGATCTCAGATCTCAGACGGTAGACATATATTTGTGCGGGGGAAAAGAAAGACGGAAGGTGAAAGGGAGGGGGGGAATCGATTTAATTACCAGATCCACGGTCTCGTTTTTTATTTCCTCCAGGCTGATGTTCTTCGCCATCTTCGCCCTAATTAGGAGCGAGAAGCGGGAGAGTCGATGGCGGCTGTGAGAGTGTTATCGGAGAGGAGCAGATGAACCTGCAGCAGCGGATGGATTCAGTTCAGTGAGCGAGGGAAGAGTTGTTAATTAGCCATGTATTAATAAGGGAGGGGAGGGGAGGGGAGGGGAGGGGAGACCTCGAACTTGTCAATGGAAAGGCCCGGTACAGAGAGAACTCAGTGGAGACCGCGCAGCCAGAGCCAGAGCTTGAGCCAGAGCAGCGCAGGGAAGCGAGGAAATCAGAGAGAAAGTCTGAGATGGGAAGACCCGCTTTCCGGCGCCTCTACGCCTCTCCTTTTATATATCTTTTGAGAAGAAAAAGGAGGCCATCGCCCTTCCCCAATAAATGCCTTTTCTATTATTTCTTTTTAGAAAATTCTTCCTTTTTTTTTTTGGTTACTTAATTACAGAATACATCACCCAAATAAATAATACAACTACTATACCTAGTCTAATGAGAGCAAAAATACAATACATGGAAAAATATATTACAAAAATACACGAAATAATGAGGCAGAGGTGGTGGATGCTGGGCCAGTTCCAGGGTCCACTAGGCGGCCCTCGCGGGGTGTGCCTGCCTGCAACTGCAATGCAATGGCTATGCAAAATGATGAAGAAAGAAGAATGACTTGCCTGCCTGGGACACCCTTCCCTCCAGTGGGCCTAAATCCTAAATGACTGCTGATTTTTAAAATAATTACTTAATTAATATTATTGTGGAATTCATCTCCCTAAATTCCGCTCCTGATTTATTGTTTAGGTAACCCAATAATAGGATTACCAAACAACTAGTCAAAAGTATAATCACCAATTCCTGATTTAACCCCTTTCTTCTTTATCCCTCATTCTTTGTTTTTTCCTTTTTGCTTCTTGGTACATGTCCTCTCCACTTGCTAAGAAATGGAAATGAAAACACCGTATGCCAATGAGCCAGCCAACCTGGTGACTAGGACTCTAGTAGGAGTTTTGTATTCATCGCAAAAAAAAAAAAAAAAAAAATTGTTTGAGATTCAACTTATTTATTAACAAGTAAAGTTTGATGCAAGTCTTTCTTGGTCGCAAGGATGGTGAACCAGCTTGATTCTATGTTTTGTTACCCTAACCTCGTGATCTATCTCGTCTTGTGATATAGACTGGCTAGAAAGTGTCTAACAAGTCATCTCGAATAGCAGCTTTTAATGAATCAATTTATAGCTTATGAGTTGGTTTGTTGATAATTTATAGGTTTGTTATTCTATGTATCTCACTACATATGATCATTAAGACTTTGAGCATATTAGCAAATATATCTCGTTAATAATTTAAAATCAAAATTATATATCATAGATTGTTTAAATACTAATTATATTAAATAATACAATGCAAACTATTGAAAAAAAATTCAACTAATAATAAGATATAGGTAGGTATGAGTTGGAATACAGCGTTCTTTATAATAGATTTGTAATCAAAGTGGATTAAAGTTCAATTGGTTAGGGATGTGAGTTGGGATAGTGCATTTTTTCTAATAATTTGTTTTCGTAATAAAATCACGAGGTAAAACAGGAAGTAGTGTACTAATATTTGGTATTATGCTGGATATAGAAGCGAATTTATTATTATTTGGTTTTATCAAATATGGAGTATTTGGGATTACGAGATTGTGATCTGTATACATTGAAATACCAATATATATATATATGTATATATATATAATTAATTGAATGTAGCTCACAAGTCACAACCTAAGATCCTTACTTTGGTAACTTGCAAACTCCCATCCAATCCAAGATCGGCTTTCCAATTTTCTATGTTACTCGTTTTTCACTCAATCTCTTGTTATTTTCATAACACAAAAAGTGAACATCCTTACCAATTAGTTGTCTCTCACTATCCAATCTATGAATCAAGGATTACCAATGGAAGAAATTGAGATATTACTGTAGGCTCCATTGTCCATGTCCCTACCTTAACTCTAGTTAAACTCAATGCATTTTCGTAGTCTCTCTTAGTTTCAAATGGGAACATTTAATGAATTCATTCAATGGAACACCAATTTTTTTTTTTAAGAATTGAGGTTAATTTTAGAACATTTTTTAGTATTTTATATGGGATACCGATATCGTAACGCTTTTCACTCTATTCATTCCTTCTTCTTTTAACGATTGAATAAGACAAAGCACATCATGTTAGTCTCAAGACAATCTAGCTACCCCTTAATTACCATCTTACCAAATTAGTTACGTTGTTATAGGGTGAACTAACAACTACGAGGTTGAAAAGTTGTCATCCACTAAAATCACTATAGTTTAGTGGAGAAGTGGTTTGGGTTGGTTAGGCGACATCATCTCTCTACTATACTTAATAGTTGATACCCTTGCATATCGGGTTTATATCAAGAATTAGCGACGAAACAGGAATATTATTTATGGGGCCACAACGTTACCGGATTCCGGTAAATTATCCCGAGGAAATTGAGACGGAGAAAGAAATAATCTTAGCTTCCCCTGTAATATAGAATGAACCGAAATTTGTTATCTTAGTTTCATAGTAAGAAAGAAGGATATATTATTATGAATTATGGTATAATAATTATTATAGGTTTTAATTCGTCCGAGATAAGAGAGTGGAGTGCATGTTGTAAGGCGCGATGGGTGGCAGCCGGCGATAAAGGGGGAGACGGCAGTCGGGTTGGGTTACTGGAGCCCGGCCCCGACTTGTCTACTTGACCTTGACCTGACATCAGTATTTATTATATATTTTATACTATCAAGTATCAACTAGAACTAGAAATATATTCCGCCTGCTTTTCCTCCCACAAAAAGGAAGTAAAAAATAAAATTCCTAATAATTAAATTCTAATATTCGAAAGGTAAGGTAGCTAAGCTAAGGAAAGGCGGACGGCGAGGATGGGGATTGATGAGTGATTTTATGAGGGAGCCAGGCCTGGCTGGGTTATGAAGGATTCCTCATCGCCTCGGTATTCCAAATTCCCCTCCCTCCGCCCCGATCCTATTACTAACCGGCACCGCCATTTGTCTGATTGCATCCATAAATTCGTACGGAACAGATCGAACGCAGTGGATCGTTAAATATTACGGGTTAATTATCCACATCAATGATAATTAGGTTTTGATGCATTTCATTAATTAGTTAATGGGTTCAGAAAAGTTTCAATATATGGCTAAACAACAAGCTGTGATCAAACAATATGCATGCGAGTATAGTAGATGGCGGATTTTGAGACGTTTGCTAATGATGCGCGCATACAAAAAAGAGTTTCGACACTTATGCTTGTTACTTGTTAGTACTCTCATGCCTAGTGAAATGTCGTCTTATCCAGATCCTATATTGCATCGCTAGCAAGATGATAATTTGATTGTCACAAATAATTATATATCCAATCCATTGACATATATAACAGCATCTACGTGTGCTAATCAATCCATTCCTATCCACCACACCACACACATACTTAATATATATACAGATAGATAAATGCAAGGGGTGATTCCTTTCCATTCAACTTCATGTAAATGCTTTCTTTCTCTTTCAAAATAATTTGGTTATTACGATATTATTACATGTATATATATGATAATGATATATCTCCCGTCCCGAACATGAATGATAATACACAACACATCCGTGCACGTGGATGTGGGGAAATGGAGTGAGTGCATGTTACTTCAAACCCCATTAGCTCAAATCAAATGTTCCCACCGACAGATACCCGCCAGCCGGGGCCGTGGCTACGTTCATCTCCTCATCTACTCCCATACCGGTACCTTTCTCCAATCCAATCGCTTCGTCATCTCATATCACATTAGTATATTTAGTAGGATGAAAATGAGTCGGGTTGGATTAAATTTCTCCATAATCCAAATAATAATTCAGTCGATGCACCAACTAAAAAACCTCAGTAAAATTATCATTGGTATTCTAAAATCAAAATCCAACTCAATCCAGCAGGTCCCGTGGGTGCATGAATATCCATAAACTTACGAATATTACTATATATTTTTCTTCAAGCATCCATATTGTAACATTATTGAAAATTTCCTTCAAATATACATATATAAAAACTAATAACATCCATAAATTATCCGTATTGGTTATTATTCTATTTCTACAGACATAAAGTCTATTAATATTCATAGACTTTATCTGTCATGAACCAGTTGCTCCCAATAACTCGAGTTGTTGGGAGAAGGTTATGTTGGATCTTATACAGGCCCGTGTGTGGAGCTTAACCACTTCCTTACACGCCCCCTCAAACGAAAGCCGACTTATGGGCTTGAAGTTTGCACAGGCCCAACCCTACCATGTGCTTGAAAGACAACGATTAATAGTGGGGGGTCGTGAGGACTTGAACACGTGACCTCACGAACAAACCAGCTCTGATACCATGTCATGAACCAGTTGCTCCCAATAACTCGAGTTATTGGGAGAAGGTTATGTTGGATCTTATACAGGCCCGTGTTTGGAGTTTAACCACTTCCTTACATTATCCATATTGTTCATGTAGATACAAAATGACGTCATTTTGCTTTCTGGGTGCGAGTTGGGCGGATAATGGATTGGATTTTGGCAAAACCCAAACTCAATCCAACCCGCCAATTTCAAAGACGGTAAAACTCATACTCGACCAAAAATCCGTCAACACTGAATTTTACATGCTTTGACCGGATTGAATCCGATTGGATACTTATAAGTTTGGGTTTAATTATCATCCCTACCCACGAGAGACTTGCAATCTCAGGTACCTACATAGTTTTATTTAAATTAATGAGAACAGTTGAATGAATTATGTTAGGTTTGATGTTACAATTACACATGGAAATGTAGCTCTAATATACATGTCATGATGTCAATATTCTTTTTATTGATTGAAATCCTTGCATTTAACCTGTAAAATAAAATAACGGGCCGGCGAGATTATCATTGGAGAACATTAATTAAGTAATTTGGCTCAATTAATTGCTTCAATAATTCGAGATCATCAGATGGGGCGGAGCATGTTTTACCCAGATAGATAGGTACTTAGCTAGCCTCTCGATCGTGGCTGGCCATCTGGCAATGATCCCCTAGTTAGGCTCATGGATTGTAGATGATTTTTTTTTTGCAAAGTCAGAGTATTAATCAAAAGCCACAAACTGGAAGAAAGAAAAGCGCGGGAGTCGACCAATAGTCGAACTCCCGATGAGAGGGCTTTTTGTGCCACATGATGGGCAACCCTATTAAGTTGACGAGAAACAAAACAGAAAGAAACATTGTGGAAAGAAGATGACAAGCTCCTAACGTCCTCCAAAATAGCGCTACCCCGAACAACATGATGCATATCACCTCCAATCATCCGGCGGATCAAGAGTTGAGAGTCCTCATGAAAACAAACAGCAAGAAAGGAATGAGTTAGACACCACTGTACAACATCCCGTAGAGCTAAACATTCCATGAGAAAAGGATCCTGAATCTCATCATAAAAATTTTCAAAAGCAAACAGAGCATTACCTGTCGTATGGTAGCCGACAAAGCCAATACTACCTCCTTGACCACTCTTGGTAGCACCATCAAACCAGACATTGATAAAAGATGAGGAACCAGGAGTCGTAGGTGTGATACTAGGAGCACGTGAAGGACCTGGAGCTGCAGAAACAGTACCACCGAGTGGCTGAATCGAAGGGTTGGGCCCTAACGTCCTACACTCATCTACTTGCCGTTGAAACTGCCGAAACAGAGCCAAAGGGAGATATTGAATGCCTTCATGGACCGCCCAACACCTCCTCTTCCAAATCCGCCAGAGAATGAAAACAATATTAGCTATCTCAATTTTCAAAAGATTCATAGAAAAGAAAAGATGACGCCAGGCCTCATCATGACTCATTCCTCCAAGAGTAATGCTCAAACCTTCAAGGTCCGCCAGTCTCCACAGCCCTTGAGCTACCCTGCATGTAAAGAAAAAATGGGGAAAGGATTCTGGTTCCCCGGAACATATAGGACAGATCGTGTCAGACACAAGAGTTTTAGTAAACAAAACTATCTGCAAGGGCAAGAAGCCGCGGACAGCTCGCCAAAAAAAGAACTTTAGCTTTGGAGGAACAGGAATACTCCAAAGAAATTTCCAAAAACGAGTGTCAAAAGGGAGGACCAACGGAGGATGATGAAGATCGTACTCAGAAGACAAAAGATGATAACCTGTCTTAACAGTGTAAAGACCAGAGGAAGAATAATGCCATATCAAACGATCAGTCAAAACAGAAGTAGGGAGAGGTATAGACAAAATGAGATCAACACTCTCTAGAGTGAACAGAGAAAGTAAGAGATCCTTCTTCCACGAGTGAGAAGTAGGGCAAATGAGATCTGAGACTAAAGGAGGGCAAAAGCTCAAACCTGGCCTTAAAATAGGGGTACAAGGAGGAGAAGAGGGAAGCCAATTATCCGTTAAAGTATGAATATGAGTCCCGTTACCCACTTGCCATCTTAAACCCCGACGTAGAAGATCTCTTCCTGCCAGGATGCCTTGCCACGCCCACGAAGGACGGGAGCCTGTTGTCGCCTCTAAAAATATCCGTTGAGGATGATATCTTGCATGATAAATCCGGGCAAGAGTGCTAGATGGGTTGCAAAGAATGCACCATGCCTGCTTAGCTAACAAAGCAACATTAAATTGATTAAAACCCAGAAAACCAAGCCCTCCCACAAACTTACTCTGACAGATCGTAGACCAAAAGACCCAATGAATGACATTCTCCTTATCCTGGTTTGCCCACCAAAACTTTGACAATTGACTGTTACAGCGTCTACATGTTTCTTGGGGTAGTCTGAAAGCCGACATAGCATAGATAGGCCCCGCAGCCCCAATCGACTTGATAACCACTTCCTTTGCCGCTAGAGACAATGCCTTGGTCTTCCAACTTCGAATCCGTGCAGCCAGATCCTCTTCAATAAATTGAAAAGTCAATGATTTAGACCGACGAAGCTGAGACGGGAGTCCCAAGTACCTATCATCAGGAGACATAGTCGCAACTCCTAGAAACGTACTGAGCGAATGTAACTCCTGTTCAGAAACATTCGCACTCCCACACATAGCAGACTTATGGAGATTAACCCGCTGCCCACTAAAATTTCATATTCCGCTAAAAGATGAAGCAGGTTAGCACATTCAGGAATAGAAGCACGTAGGAACAGATAGGAGTCATCCGCAAAAAAAAAGATGAGAAAGTGAAGGAGCATACCTGTGCACTTTTAAATCATGAAGCGTAGAGACAACAACAGCTTGGCTAATCATTGCCGCAAAAGCTTCCGTATAGATGCCAAAAAGAAGAGGTGACAAAGGATCACCTTGACGGATGCCCCGTTGGGGCTGGAAGTATCCATATTCGTTGCCATTGAGGAGCACCGAGAATCGGACGGTCGTTACGCAAGCCTTAATCCATTTCATCCACTGAGCACAGAACCCCATTGACTCCATAATATGAAACAAGAACTCCCATTCCACATGATCATACGCTTTTTCCATATCAAGTTTAAGGGCCATCCACTTGTCCTGCCCACGAACCTTGGTTTTGAGAAACTGCATTACTTCTTGACCAATAAGAATATTATCAGAAATGCTACGACCCTTGATAAACCATTCTGAAAAGGGCTAATAATATGAGGAAGGATGGCACTCAGTCTATTCGAGAGGATCTTGGAGATAGCTTTATACATAACCTGGCAGAGACCAATCGGCCGCAATTGTTGCATAGAATCGGCATTCACAACTTTGGGTATAAGTACCATCCACGTATGGTTGATACTATGTAGGAGGCGACCTGTAGAAAAGAAAGAAAGGATCGCCTCTGACACATCCACTCCAATCTCGCCCCAAAATCGTTGAAAGAAACTACCGGTGAAGCCATCTGATCCCGGGGCTTGATATTTCCCAATGCTGAAGAAGGCCTGCTTGATTTCTGCTCTATTAATCTGTGCAGTGAGCAAAACATTCATGTCTGAAGATATCAGAGTCGAAATATTCAGATTACTAACAAACTCCAAAGAAGCACGACCATTAGAGGTGACAATATTCTGGAAGTAAGAGAGAGAGACTTCCCCTTTCTGTTGTTCGTCAGAATGTACCACTCCGTGCTCATCCCGGAGATGTGAGATGATATTCGAACGTCGACGTTGCATGGTAGCTAAGTGAAAAAAACGGGTATTAGCATCACCTCCATGTAACCAATTAACCTGGGACTTTTGTTGCCAATATAGTTCCTCCTACCGGTATGCCTCCGTAAGCTACGCCTCCAAACTTCCAATCGGTGTCCAATTAACACCAACCGCATCCCTTGCTGAATCAATAGCTTCTCGAATAGTATCCTCATTAATTTATCAATCTGTCAAATTCATACATTAAGAGTCAATGTGAATTGAACATTAACCTAGATTTTGTAGTAAAAAAAAAAATACACGCCAATCCAATATATAGTTGACAAACCCAACTCGAGTACCTCCCCCAACAAGATTTAACAGGAAAATAAACCACTAAATTTGAGCCCAAAATACATCCCCGCAAATGAATCCAACTGATATCTACGAGGTCGTTTGGAAGTTGTGATTGTTAGAGTTGTGTTTGTTGAATACATGTATTGTGCACAATACAATGTTTGGAAGTGCCAAAGTATAAAACAATGCATGCATTGTTGTCTTTACATTTGTGTCAACTTTTTCTTTCCATTTATATCCCTAACAGTTTTTGTCTTATACTAAAAGTTGAGGGTAAATATGACATTTTCCCATAAAAGTAACTTTATGTAAATCAATACATAAAGTAGAATCTCAACAACCAAACAATGTTGTTAAATGCATCCATTGTATCAATACATTTATTTATATTATGGTGATTTATTACAATGCAACGATTAAACATTCGCAACTTGGTGATTGGCCACAATTTTCTCATTCAACTTTAATTTGTATATACTTTTTATTGTTAAGTTTTTGCTTGTTGGTTTGGGCATGGAGGCAATATTTTAGAATTTGGTTTATACACGGCACCCCAAGGGTCAAGTCAACTGGATTGCATAATCAAAAAATGCGGAGTCATGTATTTATGTTTTCAGCAATTTAGGGGTGGTTTGGAGAACCATATTTGGATCATTGATTTATCGAATTTATAAATTTAGCAAAATGTTATGTTTTTTTTCTACTTTTTGAATCGTGGATTGTAGTTTCAGAGATTTTAAATCTCTAAAATCTAGAGATATCAAATCTCTCATAATTAGAGAGATTCTACATCTTGATTTTGGAGATTTTCTCCCTCCTGCTATATTTATTCTTTTTGTTTTTCATTTACCCCACCAAATACCCTTATCAATAAATACACAATATTTTTCGAGCCAATCTAATTATTTTAGTTAAGGATAAACATGTCATGTAATACAGAAAATAGAATTTCTTTTTTCATTTGATGTTAACAATCGTGGTTACCAAACAATGGACATTTTCAAATCTTTTTTCAATAATCCAAAGAGTTAAATTTTTTAAATTGTCTAGAATCTATAGATTTAGACTCCAATTCTTCAAACGAGCCCTTAATTAATTACAACAATATACAATGGTTTTTATCGTATCTAAAGATAACTTTAAGGTTACTCTTAGTAAGAAAGAGATAACTAAAACTAGAATTAATCAAATTTTGAGCATTATATATCACAATTTTAATGAGTGAACCATAGATTCTAATACTCTAAACCTAACCTCGAAATCTAAGATGGAGCATCTCGTACCTTGGATGTAATCTTGACAAATCATCACTTTTATTATTATTCTTAATTAATTTAGGGGTCGTTTGGAAGTTGCAAATGTTAAATCGTTGCATTGTAATGAATCATCATAATATAAATGCATGTATTGATACAATGGATGCATTTTAATAATACATTGTTTGGTTGTTGAGATTTTACTTTATGCATTGATTTACATAAAGTTACTTTTATGGGAAAATGTCACATTTACCCTCAACTTTTAGAATAAGACAAAAATTATTGGGGATATAAATGGAAAGAAAAAGTTGACACAAATCTAAAACCAACAATCACAACAATCTCAACTTTTAGTTGGGATTGTATAATCATTTTTTGTGATTGTTGGTGGGACCTACCTAAAACAATGCATGCATTGTTTAACACTTTTACACTTCTAAACATTGTATTGTGCACAATACATGTATTCAACAAACACAACTCTAACAATCACAACTTCCAAACGACCCCTTAATCTTAGACCACAAGGTTTAGAAAATTATGAGCTAGGTTTTAACTCATGCAACAAACTCTAATTTATTAAAGTCTAAATATAATTTGCGTACTAAGAGATACCATACCCTGTACCCGAGGGTACACTGTTGACAGCTTCGGCCCACCTTTATGACGCTATCGAGGATCCGTACTCGGTGGAGCTTTTGCCGCTGCGGGATTCGATTGCTTGGAATTTATCTTGTGGCCTTCAACAAGTGTTTTTTGCAGGTGGTGCGGAGGGGGTGTTTGACAAGGTAGCAGATGGTGATAGCCAAGATATCTGTGAAGGAGCAATCTTCGAAGATCAAAGTAATCCAGTTCTTATTTTGCAATGCTTTCATTTCGTTAGTATTCGATATTAGAGAAACAAAATAAATGTATTTTTATTTTATTTTCTTATTTATTCTTTCGGTTCCTTCTTTAGTGGAACATGGTTTACCAGCAACTTTCTGTGTTTAGAAACTCCCCTTTGTTTTGTATATTAACGTTGTACACTGTCAATGAGAATCAATACAGTTTTCCCCATAAACATATATTATTCGGAAACCTCCTTCATGGTATCAGAGCTAGCCAAGATCAACTAGCTTCGATCCAGTCGGACACTCTTCTTCTTTCACTCGTGATACACTTTGTGTTTTTCCTTTCTCTTACCCTGTTCATCATGTCAGGCGCCACAGTTTCAGCAGGCTCCAATGTTGGTGACTATTTGATCATCACCTTCAACCCCGCAGCTCAATTGCCTCTAAAACTTACCTCAACCAACTTTCATTCATGGAGGCCGCAATTAGAGACTCTTCACATGGGCTTGGATCTCATCTCCTTCATTGAGGACACCAACGTTGCTTCTGCTCAAACGATCACGGCAAAAAACACCACCACGCCCAATCCTGCCTATCGTCGCTGACATCGCCAAGATAAACTCATACTCCATGCTCTTCGATGCTCAATTTCAGAATCTTTATACTTCTATGTCTCTACTGCTGTTACGTCCCGTGAAGCATGGTTGGTTTTAGAAAAATTGTATGACAGTCGTTCTCAATCCCGTGTTATTCATCTGAAAGGGAAATTGGCTGGAACTAACAAGGATGATCGGGATGTGCTTACATATATTAATGACATGAAACTTATTGTTGCCGAGCTTTCCCTTATTGGTGAGCCAGTCAAGGATCTGGACCTTGTTGTTCACCGTCTTCGGGGTCTTGGAGCCGAATACAATCAATTTTCTGCACCTGTACGTGTGAGGGGCTCCGTGGTGACCTTTGAAGAACTACTTGATGCGCTTATTGAGTTCGAAGCGGATTTGAAAGAACAACACAGATCCTTTGCTGTCCCGACAGCGTTCTACTCCCAGGGGTCTCTCCGTCCCAGCACTAGCGGTGCTCCTAACGGCGACAACATCCTCCTCTTTTCTCGTTCGCCCTCTCGCTTGCCATATCAGGGTTTTCACGGCGCCACCAAACAAGTTTCTCAGTAGCTGGCTGCTCATTCCCAGTCTCCTCTTAGTAGATGCCCATTCCACCAGTGTCACGGCCCTGCCACTTTCGGCCCACATGGGGCCTCTGAATTCGGTCGGCAGAGAAGATGGCATGGGCCCGTGGTCTGCCAATTTTGTGACAAGCAAGGGCATTCGGTCAAGCAATGTTTCGGGCTCTTTCCTCAGACCCGTCAAGCATTTAATCAAACCCGTAATGGCCAGATCAAGCACTCCACCGCCGCGGGCTCACCTTTAGCTTCTGGATTGTGGCTGATGGATTCTGCTGCCTCTCATCATGTTATCTCTGATCTAGGCCATTTCTCTTTTTATTCAGATTATTCAGGCCAAGATGAGATCCTTGTTGGTGATAGATCAGGGTTGGTTATATCTCATATTGGGTCCTCTAATATTTCTATTGGGTCAACTTCGTTTCCTTTAAAGACATATTATGTGTTACCAGCATCAAGATGCATCTTATATTAGTAGAAAAATTATGTCAAACTAATCCGGTCTCTGTAGAATTTTTTGTCACTCATTTTCTTGTGAAGGATCTTCGCACGAGGGCGCATTTGCCGAGGGGGTGGGGGGAAACAACAGTGATGTCTACGAGCTTCCTCGTGAGGTGGAGAATGTCTGAATGGCCTTGGTGACAACTCACACGACTAAATCCTCTTGGCACGCTCGCCTTGGTCATCCATCCCACCAATCTCTTACTAGTCTTATTCAGTGCAACTCTCTTCCAGTTTCTACCTCTACCACTAGTCTCTCTTGTGATGCTTGTCTTTCTAATAAAAGCCATAAAATTCCATTTTATGTTTCCTCCTTGTCAAGTGATCAACCTTTTGATTTGTTATATATTGATGTTTGGGGCCCTGATCCAGTTTATTCCATTGATGGTTATCGCTATTATTTGGTTATTATTGATCATTTTACGCGTTATATCTGGTATTACCCACTTCGCCGCAAATATGATGTCCTTCAAGTCTTTCTTAAATTTAGGAAAATGATTCAAAATTATTTTTCCACCACTATTCGTCGTCTTTACACAGATGGTGGAGGTGAATTTCAAAAATTGAGCTCTGATCTCCTCAAAAATGGCATCACACATCTTCTTACTCCACCTCAAACACCTGAACACAATGGCCTTGCCGAACGCAAACATCGTCACTTGGTTGAAACTGGTTTGACCCTCCTTCATCATGCTCACCTTCCTACCACCTTTTGGTCCTATGCTTTCTCTACCGCCATCTATCTCATAATCGTCTTCCATCCTCCGCACTTCGTGGTAATATTCCCTACACACTTCTCTTTAACTTACCACCTGTTATGGAACAATCCAAGTACCACATCGCTAATACAAGGGAAGGAACCCTTGTATATAAGTGTCCACCTAGCCCACTTAGTACGAGGCCTTTTGGGGAGGACACCCAAAAGTAAATCTGTGAGGGCTTGGCCCAAAGCGGACAATATCGTACTAATTGAGCACCCGCGGTTATGACAAGTGGTATCAGAGCCTGGTTCGACGGATTCGGGGCGGTGGACGTCAGTTTGGTGGGAACCTTGTTTGGTGGCCTCAGGATTTGCGACCCACGTTTTGGTTTGGCGGATCAAAGAGAGTTCAGCGTCTGGAAAAAATCCTTGTACTGAGAAGCCCATCGATACAAGGTGTCTGGCGGATCAAGAAAATCGCTGAGGTGAGGACACGAAGTTCATGGTCCTTGTCTTGAGGGAGGATTGTTATGGAACAATCCAAGTACCACATCGCTAATACAAGGGAAGGAACCCTTGTATATAAGTGTCCACCTAGCCCACTTAGTACGAGGCCTTTTGGGGAGGACACCCAAAAGTAAATCCGTGCGGGCTTGACCCAAAGCGGACAATATCGTACTAATTGAGCTCCCCGGTTACGACACCACCCAAATACCATAAACTTTGCATTTTAGGTTGTTATGTTATCCTTGACTCCGTCCCTATTCCACCCACAAACTTGAACCTCACTCCCATTCTTGTCTTTATCTCGGGTATTGTCCGCAACGAAGTGCTTATCATTGATTCGGTACTTCTACTCATCGCCTCTTTCTCTCTCGGCATGTTGTTTTTGTTGAAACTGAGTTTTCAGGCTATTCTCCTTCTCCACCTTATGCCCCTCTCTCGATGGACTCTTGCTTGCTCGACGAATCTCCCACCGTCACCTCCTTACCAGGATGCTCCCCCCTTGTTGGGCCGTCCCCGCCCAACCCATTCGAAGTCCCTCATCCGTTGGGCCATCCCACCAAGCCGTCACTTCTTCGCCTGCCCACCATGATCAGCCCATCACTCTTCCGTTTGAGCTCCCATTCTGTGATGCTCCTTCTCCTTTGGTCAGGAGTCTGGACACACAACATGCGAACGCGGGCGCAGGATGGCATCTTCCGGCCCACGAAGAAGCTTTTTTATACAACCCTCTCCCTTGCGCCGCCACCACTAGCTCCTCTTAATGTCGAGGAGGCCATTCGTTATGAGTAGTGGGTCGATTCTCTTCATGCTGAAAATAATGCTCTCATGGCTAACCACACTTAGGATTTGGTGCCTCGACTTCCTCATTACAATGTTCTCGGCAATCGGAGGGTTTTTCGAGTCAATTATCTCTCTGATGGGACTATTAAGCAATTTAACACTTGCATTGTGGCCAAGGGCTATCATCAACGACCTGGGGTTGACTTCACTGAGACTTTCAGTACGGTTGGCAAGCTAGTCACTATTCGCAGCGTCTTCACCATAACCCTCTCTCATGGTTGGTCCATTGCTCAGTTTGATGTTAACAATGCTTTTCTTCAGGGCCCTTTGCAGGAAGAGGTTTATATGGTTCAGCCCCCGGGGTTTGTCGACCCACTCATGTCTGTCGACTCCATCGAGCACTTTATGAGCTTCGTTAGGCTCCTCGTGCTTGGTACAACGCCTTAAGCCAGTTTCTTATTGAGTTTGGCTTTATCAGGACTCATTCTGATGTTTCTCTATTTGTCTACTCTTGTGGTTCTGTGCTACTCTATTTTATGGTGTATGTCGATGATCTCCTGCTCACAGGCAATGATCCTGCCACCCTCTCTACCTTCCAGCATGCTTTTTCTGGACGGTTTTCTCTCAATCCCCTTGGTGATGTTAATTATTTTCTGGGCATCGAGGTCATCCCCACGACATCTAATTACATCCTTTCTCAACATATATACATGGTGAATGTCCTCCCCCGCTTCTTGATGATCGACACTAAGGCTGTTGATACTCATATGTCGGCCTCCACAACTCTCACTCTCTTCGACGCCTGTCCACACACCAACGCCACTAGGTTTCGTCAGGTTCTTGGGGCTCTTCAATATCTTGTCCTAGATACCTCCTCCCATCTTGCGGGGGTGTATTAGAGAAACAAAATAAATGTATTTTTATTTTCTTATTTATTCTTTTGGTTCTTTCTTTGGTGGAACGTGGGTTACTGGGCAACTTTTTGTTGCTAGAAACTCTCCCTTGTTTTGTATATTAACGTTCTACACTATCAATGAGAATCAATACAGTTTTTCCCGCAAACATATTTTCTTCGGAAACCTCCTTCATTCGATTTGTTGGTCGGTCGAAGAATAGGACGAACCATTTGGTGGCCAAAATAGTCATTTCATTGTTCCCTAGTTTGGTAGGGTTTGATTTTTGTGCTTGGTAGCGCGCAACAATGTGGCTCTAGTGTATCTCTTTGATCTCGATAATACAAGTTATCTTTTGGAAGAAGAAAAAAATACTATACCCTCAAATTTACTATAGGTAAATTAGCAATAAACTCATATATATCCTGATTCCTGAATATAATCTATCTACACACTCATATAAGGGGATTCAACATGAGAGCGGGGTTAAAACAAAAATTGGAGGCACGAGCGCATCTCACGGAAGGCTACAAGGGTCTATCTACTTTTTACATTTACAATCTCTTTTCATTTATTCCATTGACGTTGAGGCATGGGATATTTCATTATAGGTTGGGCTTATTTTTATTTTTTGCGGCAGAATCCCTTTTCTACCTTTTCCCCAGAACCAATCCTTTTTCTCTTTTTAAGTTCAAGGTTATAGTATTTTACTTTTACCTGCTAAGTAATTAAGAAGCAAAAATATCAAGATAATTAAATTTTTTTTGCTAATACTATTTCTTTGCAATGATCGACTTGAAGATGAATGTGAACGGTAGTTATAAGGTACACAAAACATATCACATATTACAACTATATTAGTCGGCCTTATTGATCAATAGGTCAATCAATGTTTTCCATTAGACTTCAAATAATTTTTATTAGTTGGAGTCTGACCAAATTATCATAGGCATAACCAACCAAAAATATAAATATTTGTTTCCTTAACTCCCGCAAAAAGCAAACATATTTTCAACCCCATCTGATTAACTTCAAAAGTTTAAAAGTTTAAGTGATTAATTAGAGAAAATTTTATCTGTGCATATAGCAAGTAGTAAGAACTAAAACAGTATGAAAATTGTTTTAGGATGATTTTGTTTTAGTGGGCAAAAATGGTGTTTCATATGTGTAATTATGTTACCATTAATTAAGTGTTTGCCTTCAATTATTTGTAGCAGAAGAAAGTCTTTCAATGGTGGAAGTAGTCTATTCGGTGATGGAGATAATGATGTTGTTGAGAAAAAAGAAGAATAATGTATTGTCGAGATAGAAATATCAGCATTAGCAAGAAATAGTGAATATTAAACAATTTTTACTTTGTAAAATTATGTTTCATATGTGCAAAATATTTTGCATTAAAATTGGCATTCAATGAAATTTAGGAGAAGAAGGAAGAGAATGTTCAAATGCAAGAGACAAGAAAGATGTTGCTCATAGTGAAAAAGAGGTGTCATGAATGAAGATGAAGACATTGTTATTGGTCGGGATGATAATGCTAATAGCGAAGCAATCGCGATGTCCAAAAGAAAATTTGCAGTCATTTATAATCAACATGTGATTTCAACAAGTTTTTTAGGTCTTGATTCCCTAGCATGATTTTTTTAACTTTATAATGACGTTAATTGACGAATCGGTTAGTCTGTCAAAAAAATATATGGTTTGTGCTCTTTTTCATTTTTTCATTAATAAATATTTGAACTCTTTTATGATAGAAAAAAAAAAGATTATTCGGATAATTACTATTGTAGTTTACATAATTCATATAATGTATCCGGCCAACTGGCGGGGTCTGAATCTAGTTAAACCTATAAGCATGTTACTGTTGCATAAGGGTTTATTTAACTTGCATTACTGTCCCCTAATTTTGGTAACCAACAAATGCTTTGTCAACACGTGGCTATAGGAGTGGCGGAATGAGCTTCTTGATTTTTATCACTTTAGTGGAGAGAAGCTAGATATACAGTGAAGAATATATTTGGTCTGACATCTTTGCATTTGAATAGAGGTGTCAATTTTCAATCCAATCTCCCAAATTAATTCAATTTATCTACTTAAATATCTAACTCATACAATTCATTTAAATTCAATTCATTTGATCCAAATCTAATTGCAAGTATTTCTTGGTTTTCATTTTTAACTTCCTTCTTCGGAATTATCACATAAGGCACGTTGATGGATCACTGTAAAATATAATCCACAATCATGATGAGTTAAGTGTGATGAGACAAATTTTGAGAAGAGAAACTTGATTTATTTTGGTTCTCTAATGTCTCTAATTAATATTGTGTTGATATATTTTGGTTCTCTAATGTCTCTAATTAATATTGTGTTGATTTATTTTGGTTCTTTAATGTCTCTAATTTCAAGCTTCATTAACATTGTGTTGATTTCACCCGTACTTTCTTTTGAGGTGATGCACGGATTAGCATTAACAACTTCAAGCCGCAGTGAAACGCGACACATATTGACCTAGTTACATACAATAACCAGATGATGAGTTTGAATTGTAACTCCATCCAACACAATTATTTACCTAACATTTTCTTATTGGTATTTGGTAGGCGCCCAACCGCATGCTACTCTACTCTAGTCTTGATCTCTTAGCTAAGCATCGAAGAACTGTAATGACATTGTTAGATATTTATATCAATCATTCAACTGCAAATATGTATAGTTTTTGCCCATCGGAAAGTTCCAACTATTTTTTCCGTGTCCATTGACTTTCTATTAGTGCAATCCGTATAAGTTATAAAATTATTTCCAATTATTAATGGGTAAATGCCACATTTGATCATTAGGATTAATAAAATGTGTTATTTTTAGAGACTAGAAAAAATTAATATAAATTTTGATCACTCGAATTACTGAAACATATCACATTTAGTCACTCTTCGTTAGTCTCCGTCCAACTCCGTTAATGGAGTCCGTTATGTGCTGACATGACAAACAGAATTGTCTAGTCAGCGTCATTTTGGACCGAAAATGGTCAAACCCGACCCGCCACGTCACTAAACCCACCATTTCATATGCCCAACCTAACCCATTAACCAAACCCGACCATATTCTCATCTCTACCATCACATCTCCACTTCTCCCTCTTCCATTTCACATCGCCGGCAAACCCGTCCCCTTTCGTTTCACATTTCCAGAAAACGTACAGGAGGAGGATGCCAACGTCATACGCCAGCGTCAGATCCGGGCAAAACAGTTTGAAGTTTCGCTCATAGGTGGGGCGTGGTTTTAGATCTAAGACTGCTCGCCCTTCGTTGGCCACCCAGTCTCTGCCATCGGTGGCGGCTAGGAGGGCACGAAGAACGGAGAGCTTGATGACCTCGTCGCCGATTGAGCATGAGCGACAGACGACGTCAAGGAGGCGGAGGATGAGGGAAGGGGAAATGGAGGAAGGGTCAGCCTCGCCACAGATGAGGGAGAGGCAGAAGAGCTTGATGGCAAACTCAAGGGCTGGCTCTGTTGGAACAAGCTAGTCAAAGGCCACTTGAGAAGGAAAGAAGATCAGGAGCAAACATGGAAAGAAGGAGGAAAATAAGAGGAGAGATCAGATTAAGGAGATTTGGTACAGCAGTGCAAATCAAATCAGAAGATGGACTCTCAAGCAAATCATTACTAATAAGGGAAGGAATTTGAATTACCAACGACTACATGTAAACCTATAAAAGGTGACCTGAAGAACCAGCAAAGTGCAACCTTTTCAAAGTGATCAACAAAGCTAGCTAAGACAAAAGGAGATTTTGTGAGAGTAGCAAGGTTGATAGAAAAGGGGGGTTTCTCAAAGGGTTCGGGGAGAATTGCTTTGAAGGTTAGTGTTGGGGAAACACTGTTACGAGTTGTTGGGAAAGCAATTCGGGGTTTGAGAAGAGAGTGTTTGATCAATCGGGTTGATATTGATCAAAGGGTTCTTGGGTAGAAAGTGCTAGAACGAACTTCATCGAAATATCTTTAGTGAATCGTCGGAGATCACTCAATTGTGAGTCTCCGACCGTGGAGTAGTCAGTATTGGGATCCTCATTCTCCCAATACTGGAAACCACATAAAAATCACGTGCTGAGTTCCTATTCTGCTTTCAATTTTCCAGTCTGTGTGTGCCTCTGATTGTATTCTGTTCCAGGTTTAATTTTGCAGGGGAACTCGGTTCAAGAGCTGCCAGGAAAGGCGACGTGCCTGGTTAGGGTTGAGGAACTCACTGAACCTGGGTTTGGCATAACTGAGTTCATTATTGCATGGGTTTATGATGTTGTGTTCTTAATATTCTTACTCTGTTCTTCACTCTAAAAGAAGCTGGTTAACCTTGGATCGAAGGGGATAGCAGGAGGGAATACTGAATAATTTAAAACACTGTGTTTTGGGTTGGTCACTTAGAGACTGGGTTGGGTTGAATAATTAGTTGGGCTGGGGTTCCGGGTCAGCTTAACTCTTCCGCTGGGATTGAGCATTTGGGCTTAGAAGCCCAGTCGTGCAAATCGGTAGGCATTATTTGAGTAGGATAGCTTTTATTAGTCTAAGTAAAAGGTTAACTGAGGTATTTGATTAGCGGATAGAGTTTTAGGCCGAGGTCTCTACTAGCTGATTCACTAGGTAGATAGTTGGCGTAGCTAGTAAAATTAATTATTTGTTAGTCTTTTATTTTCAATTGGGTAAAACAATATAATTGAGCTTATTTGTGGTTAAGCCTTAGAAAGACAGGTATAAAGTCTCGCGCTCGACGCAACCAACACGTGGTATCAGAGCACGGTCGCCGTAGAACAAGGTTCAACGACCTCCGGTGTTAATCGAGATGGCGTCGTGTTCCAAGAATAATGCTCCACTCTATCTGGCTTACGAATTCTCTCAAAATCGGCCTCCCAGATTTGAAGGAGTCAATTATGGGTATTGGAAAAATCGCATGGAATTATTTGTTGGATCTACAGATCCAAAACTCTGGGCTAGAGTCATCAAGGGCCCATATGAGCTCAAGGAAGATCAAGAAAAATGGATAGACGAGGACTTTGAAAAATTTCAGCAAAACTGCAAAGCAACTAATATTATGTACTGTGCACTCGGTCCAGAAGAATATCACAAAGTTTCCGATTGCAAGACTGCTAAGGAAATCTGGGATAAACTCCAGGTTACTTATGAAGGTACCTCTCAAGTCAAGAATTCTCGAATTAATTCCTTAAAACAGCAATTCGAGTTGTTCAAGATGGAAGAAGGAGAAACTATTCGGCAAATGTACGAACGGTTCACAAACACTGTGAACAGTTTGGAGAATCTTGTAAAATCGTACGAAAGTGTAGATCTTGTTAGAAAAATTTTATGCAGTCTTCCAGAGCAATGGACTCCAAAGGTGACTGCAATAGAAGAAGCCAAAAACCTGGAGACGTTACCTATATATGAGCTTATCGGGTCATTAGCAACTCATGAAGACAAGCTCAACAAAGGAAATTCTGATAAAGGAAAGAAGGGAATAGCATTCAATGCTACCATGTACAACGAAGACCTAGAAGATCTCGAAGATATGGAGGATGAAGAATTGGCTCTATTGAGAAAACAAATCAGTAGATTACTTCGAATGAGAAAAGAAAAATGAAGAAGAAACTTCGTTAACAAAAATAGAGAAGTTGAGAAAGAAGGTGGTGCATCTAAATATCCTCAATCAAGAGCATTCCAGAAAAGCAGGAATGAACAGCTTCAGCCGGTTAAGGTTCAAAACACTACCGGATGCTTTAGATGTGGGAAAACTGGGCATATCAAGGCTGAATGCCCTCTAGTACGAAAAGGACGAGCCATGGCTGCAACATGGAGTTGCAGCGAAGAAGAAGATGAAGAGAAAACAAGAGAAGAAAGTTACATGGCTATTGACGTTGAGAAAGCATCAGAGGGACACAACTCAAACGAGGTTTGCTTCCAAGTGGGCATGGAGGAAACTGAATGGATACTAGACAGTGGATGCTCACACCACATGACAGGAAATCGAAACATGTTCACCACACTCAAAGAAGGTAAAGATGGTAAGGTATTTTTTGGTGACAATAATTCTGCCGACATATTAGGAAGAGGAATAGTAGGTCCAAATCCATGCATTGAGAATGTGATGCTAGTAAAAGGTCTTAAGCATAATCTGTTTTCTATTAGTCAAATGTGTGGTAAAGATAAGAGGATAGTCTTCGAACATGATTGTTGCTACATCGAGTCCTTAGTTGATAAGAAAGTGCTTTTCACCGGGAGACGTAAAAATAAGTTATATGTCATAAATCTAGATGATAAAGAAAGTTTTAAGATAACTTGTCTAATGTCATTAGAGAAAAATGATCAAATAGATTGGCATAGGAAGCTTGGACATGTGAGTATAGGGATTCTGTCTAAACTAAGTGATCTTGAGCTAGTTAAAGGTCTTCCTAAGTTAAAAGGAAAAAAGGAGTTCTTTTGTGATGCTTGTGCTAAAGGAAAGCATACAAGGTCTAGCTTCAAGAGTAAGACAGTAATATCCACAACGAGACCACTTGAACTGCTTCATCTTGATCTCTTCGGACCAACCAATGTGGTAAGCTATGGAGGTAAGTCCTATGCTTTTGTAATTGTGGATGACTATTCTCGTTTCACTTGGGTATTGTTTCTAGCTAGCAAAAGCTTTTCAAAATTTTGAGTCTTTAACTAGGAAATTGGAAAATGAAAAACAATATAAGGTAGCTAGCATTAGAAGTGATCATGGAGGAGAATTTATCTCAGAAGAGTTTGAACTCTTCCGTAATAAGCTAGGAATAAGTCATAATTTTTCTGCTCCTCGCACTCCACAACAAAATGGAATGGTGGAAAGGAAAAATCGAAACTTGATTGATATAGCTCGAAAAATGTTACATGACTATGGTTTGCCAAAATTCTTTTGGGATGAAGACATAAATACTGCTTGTTATATTACTAATCGAGCTTTGATCAGATCTGGAATTAAAAAGACTCCTTATGAGATTTGGAGATGAAGAAAACCCAATCTGAGTTTCTTCCCTCCCTTTGGTTGCAAGTGCTTTGCATTAAACACCAAAGATCATCTTGGCAAGTTTGATGCCAAATCCGATGAATGTGTGTTCTTGGGTTAATCTGTAACTAGCAAGGCATATAGAGTTTTCAACAAAAGGACTCTCAAAGTGGAAGAGTCCATAAATGTGATATTTGATGAATCTGTTAATGAGTGTTCATATGAGATAGATGAAGATGATTTTGGACTTGGTGGAAACTATGATCTACCAAGGACACCAAACACGGAGAAATCTGAACCCAGAATGATCATATATGAAGACCAAGATAAAGCAGTAAGTACTACAAACTCTCCGATCGAGCAAGATCATGAAGTAAGGCAACCTCCTCCACATATTACCTAAAATCTGCCATTACTTCTATGGCTTCCACCATTAAACTAGATAAGGATGAATCAGGTAAGTCAATTGACGAGAAGTTTTATAGAGGAATGATTGGGTCACTAATGTATCTTACTGCTAGTAGACCCGACATTCAATTTAGTGTGTCTTTGTTCTAGATTTCAAAGTGCTCCTAAGGAAAGTCATCTGACTGCGATCAAGAGAATCTTTCGTTACTTAGCTAGTACAATGGATCTAGGTCTATGGTATGATTGTGAGTCCAGCCTTGATTTAATTGGATATAGTGACTCAGACTATGCTGGGTGCATAGTTGATCATAAGAGTACTTCCGGGACGTGTCAATTTCTAGGAAATTCTCTTGTGTCTTGGTTTAGCAAAAAACAAAGCTCAGTTGCTCTATCCACCGCCGAGGCTGAATACGTGGCAGCTGGAGCAAACATGGAAAGAAGGAGGAAAATAAGAGGAGAGATCAGATTAAGGAGATTTGGTACAGCAGTGAAAATCAAATCAGAAGATGGACTCTCAAGCAAATCATTACTAATAAGGGATGGAATTTGAATTAACAACGGCTACATGTCAACCTATAAAAGGTGACCTGAAGAACCAGCAAAGTGCAACCTTTTCAAAGTGATCAACAAAGCTAGCTAAGACAAAAGGGGATTTTGTGAGAGTAGCAAGGTTGATAGATAAGGGGGGTTTCTTAAAGGGTTCGGGGAGAATTGCTTTGAGGGTTAGTGTTGGGGAAACACTGTTACGAGTTGCTGGGGAAGCAATTCGGGGTTTGAGAAGAGAGTGTTTGATCAATCGGGTTGAGATTGATGAAAGGGTTCTTGGGTAGAAAGTGCTAGAACGAACTTCATCGAAATATCTTTAGTGAATCGTCAGAGATCACTCAATTGAGAGTCTCCGATCGTGGAGTAGTCAGTATTGGGATCCTCATTCTCCCAATGCTGGAAACCACGTAAAAATCGCGTGCTGAGTTCCTATTCTGCTTTCAATTTTCAAGTTTGTGTGTGCCTCTGCTTGTATTCTGTTCCAAGTTTAATTTTGCAGGGGAACTCGGTTCAAGAGCTGCCTGGGAAGGCGACGTGCCTGGTCAGGGTTGAGGAACTCACTGAACCTGGGTTTGGCCTAACTGAGTTCATTATTTCCTGGGTTTATGCTGTTGTGTTCTTAATATTCTTACTTTGTTCTTCACTCTAAAAGAAGCTGGTTAACCTTGGATCGAAGGGGATAGCAGGAGGGAATACTGAATTTGAATTTAAAACACTGCGTTTTGGGTTGGTCACTTAGAGACTGGGTTGGGTTGAATAATTAGTTGGGCTGGGGTTCCGGGTCAGCTTAACTCTTCCGCTGGGATTGAGCATTTGGGCTTAGAAGCCCAGTCGTGCAAATCGGTAGGCATTATTTGAGTAGGATAGCTTTTAATAGTCTAAAGTAAAAGGTTAACCGAGGTATTTGATTAGCGGATAGAGTTTTAGGCCGAGGTCTCTACTAGCTGATTCACTAGTTAGATAGTTGGCGTAGCTAGTAAAATTAATTATTTGTTAGTCTTTTATTTTCAATTGGGTAAAACAATATAATTGAGCTTATTTGTGGTTAAGTATTAGAAAGACAGGTATAAAAGTCTCGCGCTTGACGCAACCAACAGGCTCGTCAACCTTGGAGTAGTTGGAGTCCAAGGCGAGGAGGATGGACAGGAGAAGGAGCGGGGCGTCGGCGGCGGGGAGGGCGATTAGTAGCGAGTTAGGATCGTGATTGGGGAGGTCCGAGAGAGATTAGAGCTTTTCGAGGGCAGCCTTGCAGGAAGAGACGAGGTGGGAGTGCTTCCGCCATGTTGCGTTCTTGATGATCTTGTCGAGGGATGGGCCTAGTGCGCGGCCTTAGCGGGAAGAACCTTCGAGGGTTATAGAAGCTTACATAGAATCATGAGATTGGGGAAACTTTCAATTGAATTTGCGAGAGTGGGGATCAGGTTTTCATGTTCGTTTTCCTCGTACAAACCGTATCTAGTGATCTATCTAAAGACTAAGAGCACATCAATCGCCGACCTGCATTCACACGCCATGAAACGGAAGAGGCTGGTTTGCTGGCGATGTGAAATGGAAGAGGGAGAAGTTGGGAGGCGATGGTAGAGATGGGAATAGGGTCGGGTTGGGCATATGATGTGGCGGGTTAGGTTTGACCATTTCCGACCCAGAATGACGCTAACTAGGCGATTCCGTTTGCCATATCAGCATCGCCTAGTAAGCACATAACGGGATCCATTTACGAAGTTGGACGGAGACTAATGGAGATTGGAGAGTGACTAAATGTGACATGTTTCATTAATTCGATTGACCAAAATTTATATTAAATTTTTCTAGTGACTCAACATGACTCGTTTTAGTAATCCAAGTGACCAAATGTGTCATATATCCAATTATTTATATATAAAAAGTGATGTGGTTGCACAATTATCATATTCTTAGGGGTGAAAAATAAAAATAATTAATTAATGTCAGTAATCTAAAGAAAAGCCTTTTCTAAACAATTAATTAAATCATTATTGAAATTAAATGGACGTGAGTGATGTGATGAGCATCCCATAATTTCCCATCCCACCCCGATGACGATGAGCATCTATCTGCATTATTTTCATTTGATTAAGTCAAAGAAGCTAGCTATATAAATATTGCAAGCTGGGTTTCCAATTAAGGGGAGGGAATATTGGTGGTCTTAAATATAATCTTAAATTCTTAATACATAGAAATGTGTAGTCTAGTCTCCCATTCACTGGGCGGGGCTGGCTGGCTGGCTGAGTGGCTGGCAAACCTCAATAATATGCCTCGCTAATGTTATCTTGCATTTACATTATTAATGTTTTAATATTATTCGATTTAATACATCAGAAATCAGAGATAGTGTGTGCCGAATTATAATGCTCATTCGATCTGAAAAATAAACCCTAGCATCGCTTTGGTTAATCAATAATAACGAAAATATTAATTGATTAAATTGGGAAGACTCATGGTATGATGGACATAAACAAGACCGGCGGCACATGGATCACTTGTGTCCTCATCATACATGTTGACTAATAATAACAATAAATTAATACGGTATTGCGGAATAGAAGAAGAAATTAAAGGAGACCTATCAACCAAATAAAAAAAAATGCAAAGAAGAAAGGAGAGGTAAGTTGCCATGTTTGGTTGTGAATTGAGGGATCAATTCTTGGATGACAAATTGCCAGATCAGGAGCGTATGTTTTGCAGAAGTATACAATTTTTTACTGAGAATATAGAGTATCAAAGTAAATCCTATAACATCCTTTAGGGGCGGACACGTGTGTGGTTAATCCGATAATTGATATTGATTCACCGCAAATAATCTGACCCGCACATAATGGGTGATTGATGTGGGTGGATTGCAGATTGATAAATATCTCACCCGCACTTATGTGGGTGAGTGGTGGGTGGATTGCGGGTCACCCGTATGATCCACATCCTATTTTTACATGAAAAAATGTCGTTTGTTATAGTATCGAATATTCATCATATTTTCGAACTGCACAACAATCCGACCATATACTTCAAAAGGTAGAGAATAAAGAATAGTTTTGACTACTATTATTGGTTATTGTGTTGTGCAATATTCATTAGATATTGGATATTGGTATGCAAATTATTGTTAATATCCATTAAATATTGGGATCCAAAGTATAAATTATAATTGTATCAAAAACATAAATTATTGATACAATCTTACTAATTTGCTATAAACTTATTATAAATGCTAGTCAACTTTCTTAATTGCTAGTTGGAGAATTGTTTTTGTGGGTTGACCCGCGACCCAACCGCACCGCACCCATATGCCACCACCCAACCCAACCTGTAAAAGTATGTGTATGGATTGCGGGTCACAATTATTCCAACTCACTAGTAAGCGGGTGAGTCAATTTGAGACCAAAATCCACCCAACCCGCCCATTGCCCACTCCTAATATCCTTCATCCAAATCCTCATTTTTCTTCATCCAAAATCACCAATGTTCATCCATGACTTGAATAAACTTTCACCGAAGAATTATCCTCTCTAGATTTTGCCCATACCCACTAACAACTGGCATAAGAATGATATATTGTTTCTAGGGGTGGGCACGTGGGTGGTTAATCCGCGGATTAATATCGATCCACCCGCAAATAACCCAACCTGCAAGTAGTGAGTGATTGATGCAGGTGGATTGTGGATTGATAAACCTCTCACCCGCACTTATGTGGGTGGGTGGTGGGTGAATTGCGGGTCACCCCCCAATGACCTGCATCCTATTTTCACATGATTTTTTTTTGTTTTAACTACTATATTGGTTATTGTGTCGTGTAATATCTATTAAATATTGGATATCGGAATGCATATTATTGTTAGTATTCATTAAATATTGGAATAAAAACTTTAAATTATTAATTTTACAAAATCACAAAATGCATAAGTTTTCTCTACACAATTGGTTGATAGAGTAGTATTTTTTTTATGCAAATACCATATGGATTCACTTGAGACAAAGTGAGAAGTGTTTAAAATTTAAATTCATACAGTCTTACTAATTTACTATGAAACGAAAACCCACCAAACCCACTCATTGCCCAGCCTAATTATTTCTCTTAGACAAATGAAATTGGAAGCTTATTTTTTTTTATCTATGGCTAATAGTATTTGTTTTTTGAAACATAAAATAGGGCATTGGAAAAATGAGAAAAGACCATATTAGTGGGAAGGAAGGATGAAGAAGATGAAGAGGGTATTGACTTGTAAAGGCGTGAAGGGACCCACTTGCCATATGAGGCCTTTGTCATCCCCTCATTCTCACCCCCAAGTAGTGGAAATTGGTGGAGAAAACAACTACAAAAAGAGATGGGGAATAATAATGAAGAAGAGGGGGGAAAAAGGAGAGGTCGTGGGATGTTTCATGTCTCTTTTAATTGTTTTGTTTGTAGAGAGGCACTATAGAGGGAATAACGGGGTGGGGGGAAGAAGTAAAGGCAAGGTTCTTGTTTTTTTTTTCCCCCTTCTTA